GTGGGGTATGGCTTTCTTACCGCAGCGCAGTACATCGCGGATCTTTTCTCTGCGGTGTCGGACTTGCCGAGTGTCATCAATGCCAGTTTTCCTGCAATGCTCAGCTACGCTGATCCAGATTATTGGCTGGGTGCACTTCTGCTCGCATTCGAGTCCCACCAAAAAGGTCCCCTGGAGCGTACGGCAGGGCTGCCCATTGTTCTTGGTTTTCCTGAATCTGACAATAAAATTACTGACCTGCAGATCAATGTGCCGCCTGCAGCCATGGTGGCCTTCTTGGCTGGCCGCGCTTATCGGTGTCCCAAGTGCCCTACTACCAAATATGTGATGGACGCGCACAGTGGACTGCCACAAGTCACTGGCCAAGCCTCCCAAGAGGCCTTGCAGGCATGGGCCGCAGCTGCTAAGCACACGGACGTGGAAACGGCCAGGCGTGCCCAGCCCAGCCTGAATACGTCCTAGGCATCACGCTGCAGGGCACAGAGACACTTGGGCAAAGGCACTATCAAGAATTTAGGCCGGACCTCCCCCCTGCCCATTTCCTTGACGCCATCCGGCTTGCTCTTGCGGCCTCGGTGGCCAACCAAAACATTGAACATTTTTGGTCAGTTTATAACTTGGAATGGCCTGACACTTCTCACAGAATGGCTGTTTTTCTACGGCGAGTGTTGCCCCTAGAGTGCTTGCTCTCCTCGCCCTTTGCTGCGCCTGTGGAAGCGAACACTGCAGCAACCTCGCCGGAGGTCGTCAGCGTCTCTTCCGAAACTAACGAAGGCTCTCCCTGCCCGATGGATGACATGTCGGATGCGGAGGACGAACCCGAGGCACAGGTGAATGATTGGCGCTTCTCGGAGCTGCGAACCACTGACCTTGCAGCTTTGCGAGAAGTGGATGTCTCCGCCCCTTTCCGGCTGCCAGTCATCTTTGATGCGCATTGGAAAGGGATCAGCACCACACCCACCAAGCATGGGCCCCAACGTCCCCAAAATGCGTGGTATGACGCAGCCACTGCTCACTGGGCTGCCATTAAGGGGCTCATGCGAGCCAAACATCCAACCAAGCAGCGACTCAACAGCTTCTGGTTTAGGATGTACTGTCATGGCACCCCCAAGGACCCTGATCCTTCGGCCCTGCGTGCTGCAGTTACCTCCTTCCCCTTTCAGTATAAGGACGAAGGATTTGTGCAGTACAGGCAAATCCAGGAAGCTGTCCGGGTGATGTGGCTCGCGGCCCAAACCTCAATGACAAGATACATGCGTATCCCCATTCCGGACGGCATCCCTGAGTGGGGGGTTGATGAGCAAGAGCTGCCTCCCAGGCAGGTCATGCCCAGCCGTACACGTTCCCATACCACCTCAGCTGGCCATCGCTCCCGGCGTCCGGACTGGGATGGCTCCTGGCAATAGACAGCAAACTGTCATCTGAGGGCTCCTACGGACGCCATGCGAACGCGCCATTGAGTCCTTTCATGGCATGCTGCCTAGCGTGATGTGAGCCCTCACATCTCCTCGCCGATACATGCCGCAAGACTACCCCGGATATTCTTGGTTTGGCAACCCTCTCGTGGTCTATGCCACGGATTGGATCGTGCTTGTCTTTTGTGTGCTTACAGCTTGCAGCTGTGAACACCCTTCTGGGTCGGCCCCGCGGTGTGCCTGTGGGAACGGGGGGCCTTTCTTTCGGGGTTGCTCCACTGGCCATCTGCCACGGACTACCCTGGACCGGTCCTGCCTGGATGTTCCAGCTTTGTCATCGGTAAAACGGCCAATCTTCCTTTGCTGCTTCTCGGTTGTGGACACTTCTACGCGGAGATCAGGTTTCCACTTCCCTGGCAATGTGCCATCGAGCACCTGTGGACAACCTGGCCTTCACGAGAGCCATTCTCGCCTGTGCTTGGGTTGCTGCGGGGTTCCCTGCCTGCTTGGGTGTATATCTCTGCTTGCGTCAAAGCAGCCATACATGACTACCTCCCCATCGGTAGGTGGCCAAGCGTGATGTGAGCCCTCACATCTCCTCGCCGACGTCTGTCGGTTTGGGCATGGAGGGTCTGATTCTGGTTATTGAACCCTCAACCCTCACCGGCCAAGTAGATAGTTGCTTGGCCTTGAGTGCGAAGTTTCGACTGGGGGACTCTCCCGCTTCCTGCGGGGCAGGTGGGGTCCCCGCATGCTTGGGTTCACCTGATGGCTCTGATTGGAACGAAGCAGTCAAGCCTGCTTTGGCCGTCGGGACTCCTGTGAGTCAAAAGAACGTTGCGCCTTGTGCCCGGAGAGGCTCCACTGGCTGACCACCATGGAGTGCTCTGGGCTGGTCCTACCCTTTGTTCTTGCCGTTAAGTCCCCACTGGCTGACCACCATGGGGCAACTTTATACTTCGGATCAAGAAGGTTGTCGCCTGCAACGTCCCGTGCCAAGGCACGACTATGCCCCACCTGTTATGGCGGACTTGTGAACCTTCTCGTGAACGGCCTTGGCTGGTGCTGAATGTATCCGCATCGGTGGCTGCATGATGGTGGTTTTGTGAATCTGGCAACGTCGCATTTTGCGACGCACCTGCGCACTCGGTGCTACATGTGTGCTCCCGGCCTTTTCGACGATTTCGAGTACTGAGTGCACAGGGTGAACTAGCAGTTCGGCGCGCTGGCTACGTGGAGATTATGCACCCGCTGACTTGGCAGGGAGCCATTCCCCACTTGTAGAACAACCTGGCCCTCTTGAGGCTCTTGAGGGTCACCCTCGTCTGAGCTTGGCCTGCGGCAGGGCGAGTGGGCTCCCCGCCCGCGTGGATGTTACCTGAAGGCTCTGATTGGACCAAAGTAGCAATACCATGGAGATCCTTGCACTTCGGCACCAACGTGATGTGAGCCCTCCCATCTCCTTACCGACGTACCTCGCGGGTTTGGGTTTGGAGGGACCTGATGCGTGCCGATGCGCAGGCCAGCGCCAAGGATGCGTGGCCTTGTGTGAGATGCCTGGACTGGGAGGTTCCTCGTTGTCATTATAAACCCTGTGGCGTTAAGGGTTTGGTAACTCGCTGTGGACCCTCCCCGTGGAATCGGTAGCTGCAGCTACTCTTGTCCCCCCTCTGGCCGTGCGCGGGCACCTCTCTGGGTGGGCACTTGTACGCCAGGTTGACTGGAGAACCCTGTGCTCGGAGCTACTCCACTGGCTGACCACCATGGAGTACCCTGGGCCGGTCCTGCTTTGATTGTTCTTGCTGTTAAGTCCCCACTGGCTGACCTCCATGGGGCATATGCCCCCTGTGCCGGGCGCGGACACCTCTCGGGGTGGGCACTTGTACGCCAAGGTGAATGGAGCACCCAAAACTCGGAGCTACTCCACTGGCTGACCACCATGGAGTGCCCTGGGCCGGTCTTGCCTTGATTGTTCTTGCTGTTAAGTCCCCACTGGCTGACCACCATGGGGCATATGCACATCTTTCATCCCCCCTAGGGAGTCTAACTTGCAACATCCTTTCGCCATTGAGTGTCGGTTGTCTGTCCTTGACAACGAGTACGTGATCCGAAGCTCTTCTGATGACCTCGGTTTGAATAACCGCTGTCGCACCAGTGGCTACATGATGGTGGTTTTGAGAATCTGGCAATGTCGCAATTTGCGATTCCCCCACAAGCTCTGTGCTTCCTTGTGAACCGGGACTTCATTGACGACCTCGAGTACTGAGTCCGTGGGGTATCTAGTAGTTCAGCGCGATTGCTCGCTTTGTCCTTTGGTGTTTGTTTGCTGTGTGGTTGCTTGTTGTGTCTGGCGGATTGTGTGCGCTGACTTTGTTTCACCCTTTTCGTCGAGCCCAACAAGACCGGCCTACTGTGCTACTGATGTAGTAAAGAGGCGTCAGTCCAACAAAAAAAAAGAGTTTGGCAAGGAAAGAAGGCGGCCCTGTGGCAACGCTGGCTAACTGTCCTCGAAGAGGAGCGCATTGCACCGGCCATCCCTTATCCGACCTTGGCACCTCCAGGCCTCCTGCCAGGTAGCAAACTTGAAGAAGCTACGAAAGTTGCCAACAAAGCAAGATCACATACACACATAAATACATACACATATTACGTACGAACGCGAACGGGCAATTGTAACCGCCCTCCATCTGTGGGGCGCCGGGATGTGGCGGGCCGGTCGCTGCCATCGCCGAAAGACACGGAGGGAGAATATGAGAGAGAGAGAGAGAGAGAGAGAGAGAGAGAGAGCGAGAGCGAGAGAGCGAGAGCGAGAGCGAGAGCGAGAAAGAGAGAAGACGGCCCGTCCATCTGCTGCATAAGTCAGACGGGAATAATGGCCACAGGATGCCACATAGACAGCGCATTACTTAAAGAAGATGGTCCACTACACCGCGGGATCGTGTAGAAGCAGCAAGCAGAATGTGTTTCACCGGTCGATCCGTTGGATGGCGCGCGAACGTGAAACGGCTCTTTGTTTTCAAGCTTTCGCTGGTTCACGGCTTGCTTGATTGATGGGTTGGTCCATTGCCTTTTTGACTCGCTTGTGTCTGATGGGTTCTGCAGCAAGAGTTTCAGCAGAGCGACTGAGAGGTTGATGGTTGCCTGGGGGTGGTCGGCCCTTGCATGTTTGATGTTGGGTTTGGTTGAGCAAGTAGACTTGGTCAAAGCGAAATGTTAAAACTGTTTAAACATTATATTCATGATGATGCTGTTTCTGTCGTTGGTTTGGTTTGAAATCGGTTTGTTCCGGGCTTGTGAACTGACATCTGCTCGCATGCGCCAGCAAGCGCTGGATGGCTGCAAGCTGTCAGGGTTCGGGGTGCAAAGAACGCGGGTCGAGGGACGTCTCTTCGCATCGGTCATTTCCCCCAATGGTCCTAGAGTCCTAGAGTCCTAGAGTATGGCGCGATGACGATCTGTTCCAGTCACGTGTTGGCGCGTGTTTCAAAAGTGGTCGCCGCCCTGCTCCTTCAAGAAGCCGCTTCACGCCGTAGATCGCCAGCTGTAGCTATAGCTGTCGCGCTAGATATAGCATAACTTTTCGCCATGGGCCGGTGTGCCACCTTGGCGCGCTTGGTGCCGGACCCAGTGCGGACTTCGGATTTCAGGCATAATCGGACTAGGTTGACTCGTTGTAGACTTAGATTGAAGGCTAAGGTTTATGGTGGGCGCTCTGCTTTCCTTGCCCTCATGTGCGCTGCCGCATGATTTCTCCGACATCGTGTCAGGGGCCAGGGGCAAGTCACGGCGGGTCTTTCCGAGTCTTTCCTTTGCTTTTGAAGGCTACCACTTGGCATCCACTTGGCATTGGGGTTTCAGCACTTTGGAGAACTGTGCCGCTGCCGTGGGCGGAGCTTCTTTGCGTTTGGACGTCTAAGTCTGGAAGTGTCTGGAGTACGTTAAATAGGAAACAAAAGGGCTTGCCAAGTAATACGCGAGAAGGTCCATGCCACCCATCCCCCTAGCGACCCAAGCGCCATGTACAAATCTATAAGTCCCATAAGCCCTGTAAGCCCTCTGAATCCCAATGCCCTAAACCCTAAACCCTAAACCCTAAACCTTAAACCCTAAACCCTAAACCCTAAACCCTTAAATCCCTTAAACCCCCTCAAAAAAGGTGTTGCTGCTCAGCCTCATCCATGGCCGAGCAGCGCCTGACACTTGTCAGGCGTGCACCCCTGCCCTGGGGGGTCTTCAAAGAGACGGGGAGCCTAAAAGGGTACTTCCGAAAATAGGGTTTAGGGTTTAGGGTTTCTTTAAAAGGATTATATAGTATTTTGGGGTATATAAAGGGGTGGCCCTATTTTTGGAAACGCCCAAATGAAGTCACGAGCAAGCAGATGACCCCCTTGTCATCCACCAAGTCCAAATCCCAAATACCCAGCTTGCCCGAAGGGTTTAGGGTTTAGGGTTTAGCTTAGCCATTCCAGCCTCCGAAGATGCTCGGACATGTGACAATTGGACACACACACACACACACGCTCGTTCCAGTACCAAAAACTCATGTTTGAAAGCCCGCGGCCTTCCTGTGCTTGGCAGCCCAGCAACCATGTTACTGCAAAAGGGTACCCTTCTTTGGGGTTTAGTTCCTTTAGAAGGGATTCGTGAACCCTAAACCCCAAACCCCAAACCCTAAACCCTAAACCCTAAAAAAGGGTTTAGGGTTTAGGGTTTAGGGTTTAGGGTTTAGGGTTTAGGGTTTAGGGTTTAGGGTTTAGGGGAGTAGCCCCCCCCCTTTATCTGGGTCTTAGGAATGTCGAGTTCCAAGCCGGGGCGGCAAAGCTCTACTTTGGGCACGACGTGACCTTAAAATTGGGGTCATATACCCTGACTACTGTAACCCCTCTTAAGGTAGCATGAACCCTAAACCCTTTTCGGGGTTTGGTCCTCAGTCCTCAGGGTAACTTACAGGGCTAGGGTTAAGTCTAGGGTTTCGGCCGGGATGCAAGAAAAGAGCGTGTAGGGTAGCCCCCGGGTCCGGCAGCAATACCCTAAACATTCGGGGCCACCTTGTGATAACCCCGAAATGGACCCCAAACCCTAAACCCCCAAACCCCCAACAACCCTATTCAGCCTCGACATGGTGACCCAAAATTCACAGAAGTTCGCGCAAATGCTGCAGGAGCCCGACAAGCAAGTTCTCATGCAGCTGCGGAACGCCCGGCAAAAGGCTCGGCCGCGGTTGCCATATTAGGGTGGTAGGAGTTTAGAGTTTAGGGTTTAGGGTTTCGGGTTTGGGGTTCAGGGTTTAGGGTTTAGAGTTTAGGGTTTAGTGTTCCGATATGGGGCGCCTTGTTATTCCGATTCGCTATCTTGGGGCACACAGACTTGTGGGGTTCAGGGTTTGGGGTTTAGGGTTTTGGGGTTTAGGGTTTCATGGCCGGCATTTGGATTTCGTCATCCGCGTTCACCCCGTTCAGGTGCCTCTTCCGTGCTTGCGCGTCAGCACTGTAGCTAACCATAAGGTTCCGTTGATATGCGGTAGGTTTATGTATTTATGATTATATTTCTTGTTGTTGTATTCTTGTATTCTTAGGATTATCATCATTATCATTGCTGTTATTGCTATTCGTCTTAGTATTACAAGAGCACTAGTCTCGAGTGATCGGGCACTCGTCCAAGATAAGGATCCAGGCGCCCAAAAGGTGTGCGCACGGCAGCGCCCTCCCTGCTCTTTCTGACTCAGGGGGTAGGGGGGGTGAGGTGAGCTTAATATTGCTACTACGAATATGTTGTACTACTTGAAGTAGTACGTGTCGGGAGCTACAGCAAGCTGCGCCCTTGGATTTGTTGCTGCAACCGTTCTCGGGTCCCCCGGCAGATGCCAAGAAGGTTGTCAAAGATGCTGCAAGAACGTACCATGGTTGTGCGACGACTGGTATCTTGTCCGGCTTTGTATTGTAGGGCGGACCGTGGAAGCAACCCCGAGTTACAATTCTACCCACCTTCGATTTACAGAATTTCCCGGCTCGGCCCCTTTGGCAGTGCCGGCACGGAACGTGGGAGAATGTCGACCGGAGAGTCCGGTGTGCTTTGCCGTGATGTTGTCCCGTGGTCGTTCCTAAATGTTTGTGTGGCTACACCGACCCCACCCCCTTTTTCTAAAAGTTTGTGTGGTTTAGGGGTGGTTGGGAGCTCGATCGTACAACGTCGACAAGCTCCGCCCGACATTGGCAAAGAAGACATTGGATGAAGCCAACAAACAGTATGGCATTGCGGGACAGTGCTGCCCCAGCTAGAAGTCACCAGTATTGGGTGTTGATTGTACCTCTCGCACAATCCTGCATTCAGAATGGGTTCAACGAAACGCGCCATTCCATCCTACAGCCTTGCATGCAAGAAGTTTCTACGCCATCCCCCCCCCCCCCCGGCTGTCTTTTCTACAGTACGTTCTGTAGGTATCACCGCATTGAACTTCGGCTCCGCCCGTGCTCGTTCCAAGGAAGGCCGCTCTGAACCCTAGACTCCTTGCTTTCGGTGGGCGCTTAGAGCCAACTTGAACCCTTAACTCTGCTGAACCCTAAGCCCTGAACCCCGGAAAGAAGGCTACCAACAAGAATCAAAGAAGCACCCAAAAGGCCACAAACCCGAAACAACCCTCTTCAAGAATTCAATTTCCCCTCTTTCAGAGGGCCTCCTCGACACATCGTCGACGTTTAAGCAGCTGCCGGTTCTCCAGCTCTTCTTCCCTTTCGGGAACCCGGTGGCGCCGACAGGCACGACTCCTTTTGGTGGGTTAGGATTTGGGGTTTAGGGTTTAGGGTTTAGGGTTTTTACGAGCACCTGGAACATGCCTTCACCTCTTTCGAAAGGTTCGGATGGGAACGCAAGCCTCGGATTTCTCTCTGAGTTCCCAGAGGGTAAGGTTCAGCGAGGGGCCTCAGTCCTACGCTTCTGGGGACCTAGAGTCTTTCGTTGCGGTCTTTCAGAACCACCCAAAAAGGCTCAGAAAGGACCCCTCATCAGGGAGAACCCTGACAGGGGCCCGGGGTCTAAGCCCTAAATCCCGTAATTTCCCTAAAAGCCCTAAATGAAATCCCTACATCTCCAAAACCCTAAATCGCCTGAACTCCCCAAATTCCTCATGAAGAATCGCAACTTCGTGAGGCGCTTGTCAGGCTTTAGGGTTTAGGGGGAGTTTCTTCCTTAGCCCAGACTCAACAAAAACTCTTGCAGAATGATCAGAACCTAAAAACAAGTAGGGCTTAGGGTTTAGGGCTTCCAGGCTGTCGGGTTGTCGTGGCTTCGTGAGGAAACTCTTCCGGCCCCACTTTGCCCAACGTCACAGAACAGTTCGAGTGCGTGGTGCCCATTCCGCCCGGTGCGACTTGGATTCTTTTACCGGCTCGGTGACTCAACAAAACGAGAGAAGCCCTAAACTTCTCGGGTGTCCTTTGAAGTGGGGGGAGGTGGGGGGGGGCCTCCCGTAAGGTCGCGGTTTTTTGAGCTCGGCATTTCCTCTTCTTTGGTGTGCTGGGCTGTGAAATTGTAGGGCAAAGCCGCGCCAGGGCGGGTGGCCACAGAAAGCACCTGAGTACCTTACATAGGTGAGTGGAAGAAGGCGCATGCCTGAAGGTTTGGGGCTTCTTCAACCCTACAGCCACAAACCCTTTAGGGTTTTGGGGTGAGGGGCCCGTAAAAGGGGGAGGGCCTTCTTTGTCTCATTTTCGGCATGCTTCGATGCATACACTGTTCTGGGTCTCGACTTGGTACCCTAACCCTAACCCCCCTTCCCCGGAAAAAAAACAGAGATGCAACGAGAAAAAAACCTCACCCTAAATCCCTGAACCTTGCGGTGCCAAGGAACACTGGTTCTTAGTAGGGAATGAGGGAGATTCGGGCCCTAAACCCTGAAGCCTAAACCCTAAACCCTAAACCCTAAACCCTAAACCCTAAACCCTAAACCCTAAACCCTAAACCCTAAACCCTATACAAACCCTTTAAGGGATGATGTGGCCCTCCTAGGCACCAGCCGAAAGGAAGCCTAAGGTGCCAAGATTGCAGGGTTTAGGGTTTAGGGTTTAGGGTTTAGGGTTTAGGGTTTAGGGTTTAGGGTTTAGGGTTTAGGGTTTAGGGTTTAGGGTTTGTAGCCCCATGTTTGGCTCGCGGTTCAGGGCAGTGAGGTTGAGACTTCAAGGTACACTGGTAAAGTTTTATATGGGGGGTTCCGACCACAGGCGTGCCCTTTTTGGGGGGTCCCTTTAAGGGGATTCTATTTGATTTGAATATTTAAAAGGGGTACGTCCTATTTGGAACTGCCCATATGTAGGGCTTCTAGGGTTTCGTAACTTCAGTGTCTCGGATTCACAGGGCAGAGGATGCGTTGTTGAGGAAATTTCGGGGCTTCTGCCCTGTCTAGCCGCCCCTACACCCCTAAACCCTTGGTGGCGAAATCAGAGCGACTCGAACTCCATAGGAAGTGGCTTGAAGAGCTCGCAAGTAACACCGAGGCTGAGACAGTTTTGTGGCGTGTGAGATGTTGAGGGCTTGGTTTGCTTGATGCAAAAATGCGGATGCCACGGGCTTTTCGGAGTTTCAAGAAACCGACATGCGCCTCCAAGTCATCCCTGCGATGTGGCTGCACAAGAGAGAAAGAAAAGCTAGGACCTAGAGTAGAATCCTTATTTTTTGTGGGGGGGGGGGGCTTAGGTTCCCTGATGGCTTAGGCATCTTCCGACAAGTGGGTGCCATGCCTGAACATCGCCGAGCGCTTACAGCTGCAGCAGGTCCTGAGGGTTTAGGGTTTAGGGTTTAGGATTTAGAGTTTAGGATTTGGGGTTTAGGGTTGGGACGTTTGCTTTCTGCGTTCCTGGCAGGGAGATTGGGGGAAAGATGGCGTCCTAACAACTTCAGCCCTCGAAGGACATAAGGAGACCGATTCCCTAGGTCCTTATTACAAGCTTTAACTTCCAGGCGGTATGAACATCCCCCTGAGAGGGCAAAGGTAACTGGGGTTGGTAGACATACATTCGAAGGCTCGGTCTGAAGTCACTACACCCTTGGCCTCTCGGTGTTTTTCCTTGTAAGATCGCTCCCTGAAGCTCAGAGAGCCCTTGCTGAAAAAATCCAGCCAATGCTTACCTGGAGGCTTAGGCACTTTCCAACAATCCAGCCGACTCAGGCGCCCCTCTACCACAAACCCCAAGAAGCCGCCGCCGCTTCAATCCCGTGCTCCTCAGTGAATCGTAGCGAAATATTCCTAAGAATCCTTTCTCCTAAACCCTAAACCCTAAACCCTAAACCCTAAACCCTAAACCCTAAACCCTAAACCCTAAACCCTAAACCCTAAACCCCTCTTGCTTCAGACCCTCTCAAGCCGTGTAACCCCCCGAAGCTTTTGAGAGGATGTCGCGGCCGCCTCCTCGAACGCCAGCCAGCCGAACCTGACGGAGTACCTTCAGTCAGGCAGGGTTTAGGGTTTAGGGTTTAGGGTTTAGGGTTTAGGGTTTAGGGTTCAGGGTTCAGGGCTCAGGGCTCAGGGCTCAGGGCTCAGGGCTCAGGGCTCAGGGTTCAGGGTTCAGGGTTTAGGGTTTAGGGTTTAGGGTTTAGGGTTAAGAAGAGCTCAAGGGAGCCCCAGATCGACCCTTGGAAGCTTCGAAAGCATCGGGAATCCCGGGTCTTGGGTTCTGGGTTTAGGGTTCGTAGACCTTAAACCCTGAAAACCCTGAAGGCTTTGGGCCGCCCCATTCCTAGAAGCCAAAGGCCCCAACCCCCAAAAGTTCGCATCGAGCCCCAAAACTTAAGGATTTTCAGAGGGACTTAACCCTAAAAACCCTAAAGTCTGGCTGGGGGCTCGCTACTAACCCTAAAATACTTTACGCCGGGTGGTTTGGGGTGGGTGTACCCCCAAGCGACGCGCGCATGGGAGTGGGCCCGTGAAAGTCAATCTAGAGGGCCCACGATGCGCGTTACCAACGCTGCCACACCCTAAAACCCTAAACCCGGCTTGCGCTAGAAAACCCTAAATAGAAAAGGTGCATGGGGTTGATCAAAAAAAGAAGCCCGAAACCCAGGTGGCAAAATTGAGGGATTCCTTACTCCAATATGGTTACTGGGCGAACCAAGGCATGAACACTAAATGTAAACCCTAAACCCTAAACCCCCCGGATTAACCCCAAAACCCTAAAAAGCCTACCCCCCCCCCCCCCCAAAAAAAAGGAACAACAACCTATAACAAGTGGCAATATCGAGGAGGGTTTTCAGAGGGTTTGGGTTTTACAATTATAAGTGCAGTTGTAGTTGGTTAATAAGTACCATGTAAACCCTAAACCCTAAACCCTAAACCCTAAATCCTAAACCCTAAACCCTGAACCCCCACATAAGGTTTGGGTTTTGCCCAGCTCTTGGGATGCTGCGCCAGGTGCCTGGGATCCGGCGGGCAAGTGGGCCATCCCTATGGTTTCACGCCTTCAAGAACAGGGTTTAGGGTTTAGGGTTTAGGGTTTAGGGTTTAGGGTTTAGGGTATTAGGGCTTGGTGTTGTAGGGTTTGGGGTGTAGGGTTTAGGAACTGGGGTTTGGGTTTGGGTTTGGGTTTGGGGGGTTTAGGGTTTTAGGGGTTTAGGGGTTTAGGGTTGAGGGTTGAGAGTTTAGGGTTTAGGGTTTAGGCGAAGAAAGGGAGCCCAACAACCTCTCAAGCAATCGGCCATCAACCTTTTTCAGAGGGGCCCTGAATGTTGAATTTAGGCATATTGTTGCATTCGAGGGTCAGGGGTTAGGGACATGGGCTTTAGGACTTCAGGGGTTCAGTGCTCAATGCAAAAAAAGGGCGGGGGGGGGTGGGAGTTTGCGGGTTTGGTGTTCAGGGGCTTGTGTCTCCCCGAAACCCGATTCTTTAAACCCCAAACCCCCAAACCCCAACCCTAAACCCCAAACCCTAAACCCCAAACCCTAAACCCCAAGGCCTAAACCCTAAACCCCAAACCCTAAACCCCTAAACCCCAAACCCTAAACCCCTAAACCCCAAACCCTAACCCCCAAACCCTAAACCCCAAACTCTCCTGCATTTCGGCCTGTGGCTTCTGGACTTCCAGGGTTCAAGGCAAGCTTGGGGTTGAAGGTTTTTGCTCGTCAGGGTGCGGTAGCCCCCGTGGCAAATGTAAGCATGTACAAAAAATCCTAATAAGAACAAGAATAATAACAACAAGAATAATAGTAAGAAGAAGAATCAGAATAATAATAACAAGAAGAAGAAGAAGAAAATACAATATTACTATTGTTTTGCTATTCCAGTATACGAATATCCTGATATACTTGGACAGCCATATCCAGAAATAAAAAATACCCATATATTATCAATCGATATGATCGTATAGTAGTATAATCTTAGAATAGTATGATAACTGTAGTCCTTGGCTGAGGATTTTTGGAACGACTTCCGCTGCAACTGCCCAAACTGCGCTGACGAAGAAGAGCCTCTTGTCACAACCTGCAAGTCCAGAGAGTTCCCCAGGTCTTGAAATCCTGCGCGCTCGAGGCTCTTTCAGGCTTGGGTCTTCGGGAAGCTCCACCTAGTTTTTGGAGTTCCATTTTTTGTCGGAGCGTCTTGTGCCAAACGGCGATGTCCTCACTTCTGATGTAAGCTTCAGACGGTGGGCTGCCGACAGGCGCTCGCTCCCGGAGCTCCAGGTTGTGAGACATCATGGTAGACGCAGGAGTTTCTCACGCTGAGCCTTGAACCCTGCTTCGCCCCTAACCCTAGACCCCCTAAATCCTAAACCCTGGAGTGCGACTTTCAATCAGCTACGTCGGTGGCAAGCAAAGTCGTCAATGCATTGCACTGCGAAGGCTGTTCACAGCCGTGGCATACGCCGTCCAGGGTAGCCTCCTGACGCTGGCGGATAACTTTACGGACTATGTCCTAGACTGTCTCTTGGCTTCGGTTTCGGCTTCTGGGCTTGGAAGGTGTCAATATCTCTTGGGGGTTGTCAGACAGCCCGTGGTGCATGTGTATGTATGTATATATACATATGTGTTAAGATAATAAATAGTATGTATGTATGTATGTATGTATGTATGTATGTATGTATGTATGTATGTATGTATGTATGTATGTATGTATGTCGATTAACATATGTATACAACATATGCACGTATATAATATATACATATACAAAAGCCGTACCGGTTGAGCTCAAAAAGTTGAGGGGTTAGGGTGGCCCCCGCGGGAAAAAACCTGAAACCTAAACTCCAAATCCCGAACCCCAAACCTCAAAGCAGTTTGTACTTTAGGAGGCAACCAGCCCGCTGCGAAGCGGGCTTAGGGGTTAGAGACCAGTTGCAACAAAAGATCGCACGTGGGGCTTCGGTTCAGGGTTTTTTGGTCTCTTCTAAATCCCGGACATACATCATCCCAGGCACCTCTTGTGGCGGTTGCCCGTCACAAGACCAGTGTGGCGCCGTGGTGGATTGTCACTTGACACTATGCACTTCGAAATGCGGACAAGTTTACCCAGTTGACCTAACCCCTCCCAAAATCTGGAAAAGTGAACCCCAGTATAGTTCCCAGTGCAAGCGTGGGTCATCTACAGAAGCCATTAAGGGGCCCTTTTGCCCTCTTTTTTTCGGGGAGGGTTCTTATGATGACAAGCCCCTTCCAGAGTGCAAGCCGTTCGTGTCGGCTTGATTGGAAGGCCTTCTTAGTTGCGCCCGCGTGAGCTGCCGAAGCCCTCGGCTTCAGGGAAAGGGGTGTTTAGGGTTTAGGGTTTAGGATTTAGGGTTTAGGGTTTAGGGTTACTTCGCTGTTGCCTAGCTTCGTGGAGAGATTTGCGAGGGTAGAAGCCACGCCCAAGATTCTGTGGGCGAGTTTCGGTGTGCACCTTCGACCTTAGGGAACCTAGAGCTATTATACGATTATACTATTATACAATATATTTGTTTATTACTAAATTAGTATATGAATATACCAATATGCGAATATACTCATATACTAATGTATCAATATACACTAATGTACGAATACACTACTAGACGATTATACTCATCTACTTAAATCGCTTTTCTAGGTCTCCTTCTTGCTGCAAGGATTTGAATATGTAGAGTCTATGCCGCTATGGGGCGATGAGCTTCGAAGGTCATTTTCCGACAGTCCGTAGTCGGACAAGTGCGTTCAGTTTTGCGACACCAGCTCGCACAAGAAAGTCACAGGGTTTGGGGTTTGGGGTTTTGGGTTTGGGGTTTGGGGTTTAGGGTTTAGGGTTTAGGGTAGGGAGTGAGTCAGAGACGCTTTAGCTTGCTTTGCTTAGCTCGGTCTGCGGAGTGGAAGCCTGGTGACCGTACTGAGACATAATGTACAGTAGTTTCTGCCGAGTTGAAGCTTTAAGCACACAATGCACAATAGCGAGCGTCGGGACCCGAGAGCCAAAGCAAGCCGAAAACCCAGGCGACCCGGACGCCTTGGCGCTGATTCCCTCCTGCGCGTTGAAACTCCAAGAGGATGGCTGGAACATCGCTGCTTGGGCACTTCAGTAGGCTCATCAGGTTCTTCCAAATGCAGGTAACCCTGCTCAACGAGTTCTGGCCCCTTTTTTGCAACCTTTCTGTTGTGAGAAACGTCGTCGTCTAGAAGAAGTCCGTTTACGGGGCGGGTTCAGCTACGAACCAGAAGGGACTCCTCTAACCCGTGCTCAAACCGCCTGGAAGCTGTTCTCGCCGATTTGTGCGTGTCCGCCTTGGGGTTAACTTATTTACGGTTGAGCATAGGGTTGTTTAGGGTTTACGGGCCTATATAGGGTTTATAAGGTTGATAGGTCTTGTAGGGCTTGGCGCTTGTGGGGTTTATAGGCTATCAAAAAAGACCTTGTAAAGCCCTGAGCCAAAGGACTATCTGCACGACTGCGGGAACGGCTTCAAGATCCCTCAGGCGTTCGAAAGAACTCCCTGAAGGGTTCCTTTAAGGTCGAGGGGTTTAGGGGTTTGGGGGTTTAGGGCTTAGGCTAGTTACATGGGCCCTGAGTATGGACCCTTGAAAGGGGCCCCCTTATATACCCCTTATATACCCTAAGGGCCCATACATCAGAACCCTTTAAAGGAGGTTACCTGGGGTTAGGGACCATATTAAGCCCATGAAGCTAATTTTAGATTAGGAGTTTAGGGGTTTTGAGGGGGGTTTAGGGGGTGGTTGGGGGTTTGGGGTGCAGGGCGAGTGATGAGGTGTGGGAACGAGCTGGGCGACAAGGGCAGCAGTCCCTTGTGAAGATGAGGGTTTGGGGCGTTCGGGGTTTAGGGTTTAGGGCCTTTGGGCCCGCCTAGGCCCTTAGTCCAAGACTTCGCTGTAGGACAAGGAAATGAACATCATACACAAATGGTTCAATGAGGATATATATATATATATATACAAAATACAAATAAATAAATAAATAAACAAATAAATAAATATATATCTACATATATATATATGTGGCTAAAGTATGTAATTCCTAAATATACCTATTGACATTTACGCGTTTTGTTTATGTGTGTGTGTGTGCTGAAGAGGGCACTATTTTGGTCTAGGACTGGCATAGCACTACTTACCTACCTGGTTCCCAAAAAGCTTACATGGCCCATCAGTAGAGATCACAGTAGTCCAAGCCTAAAGGGCTTAAACCCTGATGTTCTTAGGGAGCGTTGAGTTCCCAAGGTATGGGGAAGTATATGGAAGTATTGACTGGTAACCCCGTCCTCTGGTGGGTGTCACCCTGGGGTGTTTCAGTGGTGCCACCTTTGTGCGCAGCGGGTTTCAGGGATTCAGCTTCCTGAACCGGCTTGGGTTTTTAGAGGTTAGGGCTGAGGCCATATCAGAGCATGGGCATTGGGGTTGTCTTCAGAGAAGGCTGCACGGAGCCCTCTCTTATCAGCTCGTGTCTTCGGATGTTGCGTGCTCTTGCGGCTGGCCTCCAGGTAGCCTTTCCCCCGAAGCTCGAAAATCCTACAGTTTTAGCGTTTACTGGTTAGGAGACCTGAAGAGGGGGGACCATGGCACGATGTGTCCATCCCTGGGCCAGTCTTATGTCAACGACCTCGAGTATTGCGACTGTCCAGACTGCAGCGATGAGGACAGCTCTGGTTTGGGGATGTCCGTTTCACATCTCGAGAATATATTGAGTACATCCGTAAGGCTCCCAGGACGCTTCTTCTAGGGTTGTTGGCCCAAAACCTTATATAGTCGGTTCGTCAGGCTATTCAGTGAGCCTAAAAGCAGGGTTCAAATTTAGTACTCGTGGGCGCACAAGCAGCGACGAGGACAACTTCAATTGCAGCACTTGCAATTCGGAGTGTCCAACCGAGTGCGGCTATTGGGCTTTGTGCGGCCGGGCGGCATCCCAATTCTGGCTGCTACCATCACCGCGACCACTATACATACATATACATACACATGCATGCATATTACATACATGTACATGCATCTACATACATGTACATACACATGCATGCATAAGCATACAACCTGCGTGTTTTTTGTATATATACATATTCCGTTTTTTTACTTTACGTTTTTATGCTGTCCCCCCTTACACCACACTTCCAGGAAACAGGCAGCCGCGACAGTAGGTAAACTTCCAAGACGACAGTAGGAGCACTTTCAAGAACCATGAACGCAACGGTACGACGGTAGGTAAACTTCCAAGGACCAGGCGACCGATGCTGCTTACATGTATAGAAGAAGCTTCGTTAGGCGGGAAACTGGGAAACGTACATGTTCATCGCATAATTTGGAATTATGTACACATGCCATGTGTTCCTGTTCGATTCCAGGGGCTGATCCCATAATGAAGGGGGCCCGAAGTTGGAATGTTCAAGTTCCAGGGACTTGTGGACAAGTTAGGAGCCCACCGCTGGGTGACACTTGTTGGGCTCTTGCTACTTGAGATAACAGGATATAACAGGGGCACTGGTTGATTATGATTATGGCTTCCCCATCACACGGAAGGCGTTCTGAACCCTTAGCCATGAACCCTGAACCCTGAACCCTCAACCCAAAACCCTAAAGCTTCCGGCTCAAGCCGCTGACCGCGCAGGAGAACAGGTGTAGGGCTTGGGCGTTTACAAGTAGGGCCAAAGCTTCAAAGAGGCCCAAATGGGTCGCGCTTGCATGTTTTGCAGATGTTTTTTGAGCTCATGGGGTTTCACCTGACAAAGCCGAATGCGTCCGTCTAACGCCACCACAGGTGCCTATTCAAACATCACGAGTGCCCAGCACCTGCCTTCAACCCAACCCACGCCCTCAACTAAAAGGCTCTAAAGTCACCAGAACCTGCTGGATTGCCGAGGTGGCAGCAACGCGACGTTTTACCTGAGCCTGTACCGCCTTAGTTCCATGGTTTTTTTGTGCGGCGAGTTGAGTTTCTGCCGCTGCTTTTGTGTTGAGTTTGGGGTTGAGGGGTGCCGGGCTGCAGAGGCTCCCCTAAAGGTTCCCCCTGATAGGCTCGTTTTTCTCCTTCAGGATCTTTGATCGGGTCCCCAGAACCCAAGAATAGAGCCTGAAGGGTCCAGGGTACAACCCCTGGATCTTCCGGGTTTCGAGAGAGAGAGGCCCGCATTTATTTTTCTTTCTCCTGTACTGCTGATTGTGTGTGAATCAGATGGCCCCAAAATCCAGGTGAACAAGGGACCTCTAGTCTAGGCCCCCACATGGCAGGATCCCCTGATACAAGGGTTCGGAAAAATTACTAATAATCTTCCCTTATGGTCCCTTTGTACTTATACTCTAATAACCCCCAAAACCGTACTCGAATTATTCCGGCCCCTAGAGCACCTTCATCAGATTAACCTACGTTTTGGCCGCTCCCCGGTGTCTCCCGACCTCTTCGCGGCCCAACGTTTTACCGACGTGGCGCCCAGACCTTAAACTGTCAAGCCCTCGACTCCCTTCAAGTTCTGAAGCTCGGGAGAGGGGGGAAAAAGCCCGAAACCCTAAACCCTAAACCCAAAAACTCGGGAACCCCTGAAGCTAGAGCATTCGGATTGCTGCCTCGTGCAGTTTGTTCGTACAGCCCCAACACCGTTCACGACACCCCGAAGGCCAACGGTCTTCATGGTCGCTTGAAACACTGGGTCTCTGAAGCACCCGACATACGACAATGGGTCGGTCTGTAAACGTGCACTATCTTGCACTCGCAGAACAGGCCCACAGCATGTGGCGAACTGCCGTATATGGGGGTTTCCCAAAGTTACGGATTCCTTGTTTGTGATTCCACTATATTCGGGCGGTAGAGGGAGCCTGCCTTGGGAAGCCGCATGCTCCGCTCAGGAACCCGGCTTGCCAAGAGGCAAATATTCTCTGGGATGCTCGCGGCGGGTACAAGGCCCCTTAGTGGAGACCCAAGAAGCTTCGGAGGTTTTAGGATTTTAGGGGCTAGAGGTTTTAGGGGACTTCGGGTGGGCTGACGGCTTGCACTCTGGATGTTGAGCTGTGATGCGAACAAACCCTAAACCCTAAACCCTAAACCCTAAACCCTAAACCCTAAACCCTAAACCCTAAACCCTAAACCCTGCAACAACTGATGATGGCCCTTCCTTCCTTGAGGTGGTCGAAGCTGTGGTGTTCAGTGCTGGATTCAGTTCGTCGGGGGGTGTATTCTTACTCTTGGCTAGAAGGGAATGAGGGAATGAGGTACCCTACATCCCCCTATATACCCTTTAAGGTATGCTACCCTATAGCCCCCTGTATATACCCTTTATATCCCCCTATATATACCCTTTAAGGGATGATACAGGGTGCCTTCCCCCATTGCCTACTAACCAACAGTAAGTATTTCGGTTTGCAGCTGAGGGCCCTCGGTTTGCCCCATGCCCACAGCCGTGACCACTTACTGTTGCTTAGCAGGGAGGGAAAGAGGTACCCTGGGGTACAGGGGGAAAAAAGAAAAGTACCTCATTCCCTCGTTCCCTACTAGCCAGCGAAGTAAAGAGGCATGCAACAATGGCTGGACAATCCCGGCAGCCACTCGGTTGCAGCCAAGGGCAACGGCTGGACCAACGACGGAATTGGCAGCCAAGGGTTTCCAGGTCCCCACTTAGAAGCCCCGAAAAGCACCCTACTAGGGTTACAACTGGATTATAAGTACAACTACACTAAAACCCTAAACCCTGAACCCTGAACCCTAAACCCTTGCGTTACTAAGTACCATGAACCTCCAAGTAGGGTTTAGGGCTCCAAAGAGGAAGGATCATGGGTTGCTTGGCCTTCCCTGCGATACGAAGTCGTCCAAGAAGATAATGCGGCCCAAACTCTTTGCTGCAAAGGTAAATGGCAAGGCGCAAATCTTTTGGTTGCGAAAGAACCCACCCCAAAAAAACTCAAATACAACTTCCTTACAAGGGTGATTCATAAAGGGGTTAGGTAGTAACAAAGCTGTGTTTCATGTGTTTTTGAGGTTGGTGAGCAAGCAGTAGAAAGGTGTGGGGCGTGTGATCCCGGAGCCCTAAGAAACCCGACAACGCAGGCGCCTAAGTAAGCACTATCCTGATGAATGGATTCTGGGGAGTTACAGGTTGAGGAGAGACACGGCCCAGCTGAGCTATAAGTACAGTCATAGCGGGTTAATAAGTACCGATACAAGCCCTTTAAACCCTGCAAACCCTGGCCCTGCACCCCCATTTTCCTAGGCTGGGTTTCAAGCACGACCTCCTCGTTTTCAGTAGGGTTCAGGGTTTAGTGCTAAACAGATGTGTCTAGGGCCTAGGGAATTAGGCAAATCGGGGTATAGGGTTCTGTTGGGAACTGGTCAGAGTGCCACTGCCGCTGGTGAGATCGAGAGCATTGTGTGCAGGCCTGACATTCACTGAGCGCCTGTGAGAGAGAGAGAGAGAGGGAGAATCGGGTGACATGCCTCGCACCGCTCAGTGTATTCGGCAGTCATCTTCGAATCCTGGATGTAAAAAAGGGGCAGTCGCAAAAGTCCAAAGGCAAAAGCTGTATATGGGCCTTACTCCAGAATTCTGTGAAACCCAAACGCGTTCTGGGCTTAGGGGATTTGGGGTTTGGGGCTTTATCGGTCTTAGTACCATGGTGTGTCGGGGTACAGGGCTTTCTGGGCTTAGGGCTTTATAGGGTTGAATCGTTTCGGCTTTCTAGAAAACGGTTTGCGTCGGTTTTTCTGTTTCAACAGGATGTCAATGTCCCAGGACTATTGGAACGACGAGTTCTACTGCGATTGCCCAGACTGCGAGGACGAAAGCTTCTCCTGCGAGGCCTAGAAATCCTCAACCCTCCGTCTTTTGCAAGAAGCTTGAGCAGCTCGAGCGGGAGTTTGCAAACGTTTGGGCATCGGGTTCAGGCTGAAAGGTGCCAGTGCTCAGGGATGCTGAAGCGAAAGTCGGGCTCATGTCAAAGCAAGGGGGATGTGCGGATTTTTTAAGGCTGAGTTGCTTTTCGACCCTCTACATGCCGAATATCTGCGTGGAAACCTCTAAGACCTTAAGCCCTGAATGCTTGTCCTGAGCACACGCGGGCACTGCAGGGCGACCCAGCTGGGTAGGGGGCAAAGCTGCAAGACATGCATGGAACATGGCGTAGCTGTCAAAACAGCCTTTGCGTGATTCCTCTTCAGGTCTTGCTAGGGAGACAAGGGCTCAACGCAACGATCGGGTTTAGGATTTGGGGCAGAAAGGGTGGATTCATGAACCCCCCCCCCCCCCTTTTTGCGTCCGGGGAGTTTGAGGGTGTAAGTGAGAGTTCTGGGGTCTGGGAGTCTGGGGATCTGGGGGGAGGGGGGAAAGGGTCATTGAACTCGCAAGCAATCTGCAGTACAATTTTGGGTTCCTGCCCAGCCGAATGTTGCAATTGCAGCCCTTTATCTTTGTCCGCCGGACATCTGTGTAGACATACGAGCCCGGGACCTCCTGCTCATGGACAGTGCTCTGGACAGGGCCGGGCCGACTGTTACAACTCCCACCCCATTCATACCTGTGACGTTCACATTGTTTTAGGGTTCGAGGGCTTCGGGGCTGAATGCTTAGGAGTTTAAGGGGTTGAGGCCAACAATTCTGGAACTCGGCCCACGACACAAGTTCCCCAAACCCCTCGGAGCGGTTGTGGTCACGGAAGGGTTAGGCCTAAGGGGCAGACAGGCTTGGAGTTGAAGGGTTCCTGTTGAATTTGGAGGGCTTGCGGCTTGGAATTTCTGAAGTTGTATGATTATTCTTTTTTATATCAAACTCAAGATAACATCTGGAAATAGAAATAACCCCGGTAATCACTTTCCTGTTCTGAAAAATCTACAACGCGCTCTCCAGGCATGTGGCGGCTGCCCCAACGCCAGCGCCGCCTGCGGCGACTACGTCGAGTGCCGCCGCGCTGAAGTCACGAACACGTACCCAGAGACCCCGATACCCAGGTTTTTGAACTTGACCAGAAAAGCTCGCGCCAAAACAGCTCTTTGAACTTGACCAAATAGCTCGCGCCAAGCTCTTTGAACATGAAACATTTTCCAAGAGCAAGCAGAGTTGGGAAAGCCTTGAATAGTTTGCTCAAGACGTCCCAAAACCTATGCTGGTAAGGTACTCGTGGCTCCATAACCCGTTCCCTCAAAGAGGGTGGTTTGATTTTATAGCTCGCGCCAAAACAGGATTTTGGAACTTGAAATATCTATGACGAGCAAGCAGAATGCGCCCAACAACCTGTGCTGGCAACGTAACCGTAACCCGTCCCCTTGAAGAAGATGGTTTAAGTAAACTGAGATGCTTTCTACTCCCTTTAGAATCCTTAGAAGAGGGCATAGGCTTTCGGGTTTAGGGGCTGAACCACAAGTGTGTGGTACCGTGCTACCTCTTTAGCTCGCCATTGCCTGACGGACACATCTCGTCCTGCTTGGCCAAGGCTACACCTCGGATAGTGTTCCTTGGCACGGATCGTATCATCAGGATGCAGTGTTCAAGGAACTATAGGAGGGGACAACTGCAAGGGACCTCAGGGGCTCTTTGGGGCTTCTTTACTTTATCATAGTGGGGTAACATTTTACATTTTTAAGGGTACTTAAACTCAATAAGGAATAAAATGTTAAAATTTTATTGCTATCCCAACTATGAACCAGTTTAGGGGCCTTCAAGTGTGCGTGGTTTATTGCGATGTACAGCTCGTGCAAGAGAGCCGGCTTGAGTGCCGAGATTCTGCCACAGCTGAACCCGCAATGCATCTTGGCCGCGTTGAGCGGATGGGCGCCGGCGAAGATCACCTCCTGCGCCTCGGACTTCAGCTTGGAGGAGTCCGAGGTTTAAGGGTTTAAGGGTTTAAGGGTTTAGGGTTTAGGGTTTCGGGTCATGGGTCATATATATCGTCTCGACATGAACACGCTGCAGCCACAAGTTCAGACAAAAGGGAGCTGGGAGAGAGTGGAAGGTAGAAAGGCTTGTTGGAGTTCGATGTTTTGTGCTTGCAGAACTGCTAGTGGAGCTTTTTGTTCGTGGCAGCTTCCGTGCAGGATTCGAAGGATAGCAGGTCGGGACTTTTCTGGGCCAAGGAGACTTTCAGGCTTGTCAACTGAGCCTCGTCCCCACCCTGAAAGGTCGACTAGTGTGGTCTGCGGTCGCCAGTCGGGTTTGAGGAGGCTGCTTAATCGAAGCATGCTGCCCAGAAGTGCCCTGCAAGAGTCAACGCCTGCTGAGCGCAAGGTCAAACACAGAAACGGGCATCAGGATATGAATTTCCGGAGCAAGTGGAAGGGTCGTTAGAATCTTCGAACAGCCCTAATTAAGCAGACAAGGCGGCTGCGTAGGAGTCACCACTCCGGTTGCCACACGGTGAACCTGGAGCCAATTTGTCATTGCCGGCTCTGGCCGTCAAGTCAGACGTTCCCCCTTATACTGCCCTTAATCGGGATTACAGTACCCCCATAATCCCCACTAAGGGACTGTTCGTATAAGAGGGGAACATCCCAAATCCTGAGAACTTTGGCGCATGGACCAGACAAAGCAAAATCCTTGGACCCGAAGTCGAGGCAACGCCTCGGATCCCGAAGCCTGGAACATTACGCTGGATGCTCTGCAAGCACTGGCAGCTGGCAGGCTGTAGGTTGAGGTTAGGTTCGCGTAAAGAAGAGCAGAAAGAGCAAGCAAACAGCCCCGAGCCTCATGCACAGTGCAGCCACATGAAAAACCTATGCGTACTAGACCCTTGACTCCAAGTTTTCTCTGAACCCTAATCCCTAAATCCTTTTGCATCCTGCCCTGTGGGACTGCCGGCTAAACATGCACTATGATAGCGACATGGGCAGACACACGAAACCCCTCGTTCCCTTCCGAGAACCACACAAGACATCTCAAGAACATGCGAGTTCAAGAACATCCAGAAGGGGCCCTTGGCCGCCCAAGGTGAATCCAACAACCCTCAACCCTAAATCCTAAACCCCCAAACCCTGAATCATGCCTTTCACAACTTCCAGAAGGTAGTCATGTTTGCAGGATCGATAGTCATGTCCAGTCTCTTGCGTGTAACGTTGAGCTGATTGCGGGAGCATGTCGGGGTAAAGTTGCAGAAGGCCCCCTGCAAAAGGGGTTTTGCGGCTTTGCAGGTTTGCTTAGAGCTTCACATTTTGGGGTTGCGGGTTTTGGGGATTTCTACAGTTGACCCCCCCCCCCCCCCGAGCTTCCGCGGTTTCCGAACTCACGTGCCTAATGCTGAACCGAGAAACCCTGAAACGCCTCAATCTCTAACCATAACTTTCAACACCCTGAATCCCCTAAACCCCTAAACCCCCCCTGACCCGCTTAGTCATGCCTAAGCCCTGGCATCCTCAGATTCGCAGAAGAGCCGCTAAGAAGTAAGGACTACATCAATGACGGCTACTGCGACTGTCCCAATTGCGAGGATGAGGACCATTGAGGGGTTTCTGGGACCCCTGAGGTCTTGTGATCTCTCACTTCCGCGACTCCTCAATTTTTTCCACCCCCCCCCCACCCCCTACCCGAAAATCTAAGGCGTTGGTAGAATACGCTTAGAATCCTGAACCCAACAAAAAACACCGGGAGGTTTGGGAAGTTCCTGAGACGGACACTTCCCCCCCCCCCCCCTGGCGACTTGAAACTTTCTTAGAATCCTATACAGCCCCTGAATTCGGGTGCTCCTCAAAAAGCCCTAACCCTCCTCGGCCCTGGCGAAATGTCGCTCACAGCGTCTTGTAGGGCTTGGGGTGTTTTTGTGGCTTTGTTTTAAGTTTCTTAGGGTTTGGAGGACTTCTTGTTCAGAGGTTGAAAGGGTCTAGGGCTTAGGGTTTCGAATTTCCTTAGTCCTAGTCTTCTGGCAATGGAAGTCCAAGAAAGGGCTCAAGGTTGTTGTTCTGTGTTCCCCTGGCCTGCGTGTTTCGCTGTCTCTGCTTCACCTGCGAAACCCTGAACCTCAACACAAACAGGGTTGGGGTCACCAAGCTCTGACAACTCTAAACCCCCCCGAATAAACAAACTGGACACTGGTGGGTATTCGAAGGGCCCAGAAACGTCCGCGGAGGATCAGTGGACCTGCGACAATTGCTCAGTGGGCTGCCCACAGCGATGCGGTGACAGCGTCCAATGCCCGTTGGCCTGAGATGAGTTCTGGGGGGTTTAGGGTTTTGGATTTTGGAGTGTTGCTGGTAGGGTTTGCTGGCTTTGGGATTTCAGGTCTTTAGGGTGATGCGTTTCTGGCTGTGAGAGGATATAGGGGTTAGGGTTTTGGGTTTCGCGTTTTTAGGCTTACGGTTCATGTGCACCCCGGCTTCCCGTCGTTGAACCCTTGCACTCGAAGCCCCGGTCTTGTTCGAGCGTAGATTGTCAGAGGTACCTAAACACACGAAACTCGAAAACCTCTTCAAATCATGCAGCAGAAACCCTAAACTAGCTAGGGTACCCGAGTTTAGCAAACAAGCCCACTAAACCCTAACCCCTACACCCTAAACCCTTGTGAAATCTCCCCTGTCCCCGTGTATTCCAGTTAACTCATCTCCTCGTGTTGACCGCAGGCGCCTTGAGCTCAGGCCCGAAAACGCCCAAAATAGGCCACGCAGTTGCGCCGGACAAACCCAGTCCCAAAACCCTACGTAGACACTAAACCCCTAAACCCTAAACCCTAAGCGCACCGAAGCCTTGCTGAAAGAAGAGGCCTCGACGAGCAGAACTTCAAGGAATGCGGGAATAACGAGACCCTCATCTGCTACGGGAACATGCGCGCGCCGGTTAGGGAGGTTTGGGGTTTAGGGTTTAGGGTGGTTTTTTGGTAGGCTATTTTTGGAGATTGGTTTCAGATCTGTTATTCCAAATAGTGTAGCTGCCCCTCCCCAGCGCATCATCCCTTTTTAGCACCCTTCAGCGCAGAGCTGGTTTCATGTTTGTTGTCGTGATTTTTTCTTGCTTTCGGCGAAAGTGGGGTGGAGGTGTTTTCCGGGGCATGCCTGGGAGCTGAGTGGGGGTAGAGGTTCAACAGGAGCTCAAGCACTCAGTAGTGCTGAAGCCCAGACAAGTTTTTTCAAGACCCGTGCCAATCCCGAATTCGAAAGGAGGCACGTAGGTGTAGCTGGAGCTCAACACAGCGCGCGTTCAGCTGAGGATATTCGGCTCTGGTTCCTACTACTATGGCTACTATTACTATGGATATGGGTATGACGACACCGCCTTTGGCCCAACTTTTGACGATGGGGACGATGGGATCACGAACCTTTTGAGCAAGAATGCCCGGACTTCCAAGCGGAGCTTGAAGCGGACCCTCGACAATCATGAGAAGGGTATGGGCTGGGATGTTCCCCCTTATGCTAAGAGTCCTTAATTGGGGATTCTTGTACCTAATCGAATTCCTAGCCGATGAGGTGTGAGATGGGGTTGGAAGATACTTCAGCCCATTGAGTGGACTGGATAGGGTTGAAAAGGGTTTAGGGGCGCATGTGTTTGGCAATCAGCAAGTCCATTTTCACGTCAACCTGTTGCCGGAAAGGGTTCTCGCTCTCTTCTCCCATGCGAGAGCAGGCTTTCTGAGCTCAGGGTGACCAAAAATTGGGGCTTGGGGCGGACGCGTTCTGGGGCCTGTTTAGTTGCTTACTTTGTGCCCTTTTGAGCCTCCACTCCCCATGAAGAAAGCCGCACCACAGGAGGACGGGGGGTGCGGCCCGACATTCATCCGGAAACTCCACGAGCAACAGCCCGTACTTCGTTTGCAACAATGGCTGGACCATCTGGGCGGCTTGGCCCATACGAGTCCCTAAACTCTTATAAGGTTTAGGGTTGAGGGTTTGACCCTGTGCACCTTGTTGCGCACTTGGTTTTTGGAGGGCCTACGGCATGTCTTGGGTCTATTTTTTTTTTGCGGGGAGGGGGGGGGGGGGGGGTGGTCTGCTTTTGTTGGTCCCATTTACTTGGTTTTCCCTAGGAGAACCTCCATTCCCTCTATGTTTTGAGAGGAAATCGTGCATTTCCTTAGCGAAGCCTCTTATTTCTTCTGTATGTTGAGAGGAAATCGTTCCTGTCGGTCGCCAAAGCTAAGGAGAAGAAGAAAGAAGTACACACAGAACGACAGAAAAGAAAGAAAAGAAAGAAAACAAAGAAAACAAAGACAAAAAGAAAGAAGGAAGAAAGAAAGAAAGGAATAAGAAAGTAAAGAAAAACATGAAAGAAAGAAATCGAGAGATAGCAAGAGAGACAAGACACATATTGAAAGAAAGAAATACGCAGAGACAAAAAGAAACAATAGCTGGAATCCTTATTGACTTTGGGTCTGTTTCCTTGGTTTTCCCTAGGAAAAGCCCTTTTGCCCTTTATGCTCGTTTGAATATTCTTGAGAGGATCTTCTATCTTTCATGGGATTCATGCTGCTTTTCACAGTCTTTCGTAAACAGAACACAACCAACACACAGTACTCTCGCACGATGGACTTCAAAAAGCACCCATATCTAATATTTGCTTAAGAACCCCAAAAGAATTTAAGAAAATAATAATCCCTATATTACCCTTGATAAGGAAGAATGTTGTGTTTTTTTGGGGTTCTTTAAGCAATTAGTAGATATGCCATGAGGCAAGCTTTGCACGGCTTGAAAAGGCGGAGGGCGTTGGGAGGCGCCCCCCATTTGCAAACACAATGCTCGCAAGATGTGTTTAGGGTTTAGGGTTTAGGGGTTTAGGGGTTTAGGGGTTTAGGGGTTTAGGGGTTTAGGGGTTTAGGGGTTTAGGGGTTTAGGGGTTTAGGGGTTTAGGGGTTTAGGGTTTCAACAAGATTCATATGGGAAACTGGAACCCTGCATTCTGAATAAGACCCTGAGCACTTGGCCGTTCATGTTTCGTTCACCCATAAGCTCCTATTAATAGTATTCATGCGTCCGTAAACTCCCTTACAATACGATTAATAGTGTTTATGGTGTTCTCTTCACAGTATTAATATTACTAATGGTGTGTGAAGAGAGCGGAGTGAGTGAATAAGCGAATGAATAAAGTACGAAGAGAATAGTAAAAAACCAAGGTTGACCGTGTACTCGCGAATCATTCTCTGAGTTCAACCGCCAGTCAAGGTACGTCCAACATTCCCCTTTCCTCACATCCTTCTTCTAATCTCAACCCTAAGCCCTGAAACCCTAAGCCTTTTTTCGAGGGAGTCAGAGGGACACAAAGAACAAGAAGCAAGTTACTAAGAAATCATATGGAAAGTAGTCTGAATCCTATGGAAGATGGAGGATCCTATCAACAAATCAAGGGAATAGAGGGAACACAAGGAAACAGAGCCACATGTGAGAAGGATTCGAGCCACATTAAATAGGCATCCTACGAAAAGTATGCTATATGAATCCTGTGAACATATAGATGGAGGGAGCGGAGGTATTCCTAGGAAACACCAGAAAAGATGACCAAAAACAAACAAAGCAACTAAAAATATTCCACCCCTCAGTTTTGGGTGTCAAAGGGCACTGAAGGTCTTCTGCAAAGGCTTTGGGGTGGCACGCGGACCAAGGCGGACTACTACGATGACAAGGAGTACTGCGATTGTCGAGATTGCGAAGATGAGCCAGACATCACGCTGGAGAGCTGCGGTATCCAACCACTGGCTTTCTGTGGAGACTACGCGTACTGCCGCCGGGCTTCCACGTGTGATAAAACACAGCCAGCCCTCCCAAACGCAGGACCGCTGAGTATTGGGTTGCGACATGCAGCCACGTTTTTTTCCAAAGAAAGATTCTGAAAAGAAATCAACCCCCAACCCCACAGACACAAGAAACAAGCTCCAGAACTACAGGTGGCAGTGGTCCCAAAGAGGAGCAGGGGGCCTGCACCTACGAGGAATCTGGGCGTTGTTAACAGGAACGTAGATTACACGTTCCTTTTGTCAGGAAACTGTTATGTTGGAGTAGAAACCCATATGCTGCAAGCTTCAGGAGGAAACCATATTGGCGCCCACGAAAACCCAAATGATGATGGCTCAACGTAGGCCTCCCAAACCCTCAACCCTAAAGCAAAAAAAGCATGCCTCAGCCGGCTTGCCGGGTGTGAGCGATGAAAGCCAAAGAAAAAAACAAGAAAACCCTAAACCCTAAACCCTAAACCCTAAACCCTAAACGAAGAGCCAAGACATGGCAGCTGGGAGACAACCCCGTGGTTTGCAGCAATGGCTGGACCAAGCCGCAGGTTCTTTGGCAGTTTAAAGGGGGTTTAGGGTTTAGGGTTTAGGGTTTTTTGGGTTTAGGGTTTAGGGTTTAGGGTGGCCAAGCCTGATGCATAGAGGGTTTAGGGTACCAAAGCCCTCCCAGACTGTGCCCTCCATTGATGTCTAGGGTTTCGGGTTTGGGGGGGGGGGATTGGAAATACAATTGGGCATGTAGTTCCATAGCCCTACGATAAGTGCACCCCACCCCATGAGGTCACTCAGCCATTTAGCCACCTTAGGGGCTCCACCTTACAGATGCCGCGGCTTGCTTTGCTTCGGCGTCGTCTTTGACGACTTCGTGCATCGGGTCAATGGCCCGCGCTAGTCATAGAAAGATGAAGCGAGTTCTAGTGCGTGAGTGGAGGAGACGATTCTGGAAGCACCAGGGGCGGCGCGCAGCATTTTGCCGAAGCTTCTCGTTTTCTGCATGGTCCTGTGAGCCGAGGACAAGCGGAATAACAACTTCTGCGACTGCCCGAACTGCGAAGATGAGAACGAGACAGGGTGGAATTGCGACAACTGCTACTGTCCGCAGGTTCAGTGCATTGACAATGGCGCCTGCCGCTTGCCTCATAAGCCACGTTGAGTCTTGGGGGCCGTATAAGGCCCGCAACCAAGAAAGCCAAAAACACCCTAAGCCCTGTAAGCCCTGAGAACCCTTTGATCCCTGCAAACCAGTACGGCCCAAACGGGAAGCGCGCCGAGCCAGGCAGCACGTGCTGCGTTAGGGCGTAGGGAAGAGGCGGGGAGAGATTCAAGGGCAGGCTCGGAGGGGTTGGTTGCAGGGATGGGGGACCCTTCAAAATGAATGGTGTTCAAGGCAGCCAAAGTTGAGCCGCCACGTGATGTAGCGTTGTAGCGCTGCCACACAAGTACCCGCCATGGTTGCATGTGCTCTTGAAAAAATCTGCCAGCGAAGACCCCGAACAGTAAGATTGTAGAGAAAGGGAAAACGCGTGAAACACCAATGCGACATAAAATTGACATAATGGGGAGTCAAATCCCAAAGGCATAGACACGATTCATGCATTTCTCGGCCCGAAAAGAAGAACAAGCGCAACAAAAACCCTATGTTTTCCTCCTAACGATTGCACTGCCAGTGGGAACACTGAAGAAGTAAAAACATATCCCGCAGAGGTTATTCGACGAGCATCCTGCTTTGCGGGACCGAGCGTACCCAAGTTTTGGTGACCGAACGTGTTCAACTAGCATCCTGCTTTTTGGGGGGCGAGCGTACTCAAACAGCACCCAAACTTTGGGATTCAACAACACTGTAGAAGTAACAACATATCCCTTAGAGGTTTGTCGTATGTCCCTCCCTTTGTGCTCGCAGGGTTTGGTGAGGGGCCCCAATAGCTCGCGGCATGGCGCGAGCTATTCAGTCGCCGGGGAAACATCTATGGTGCTTTTGCACGTCGAAACACGTTTTCAGGGCTAGTGTTCTGCACCCAAAAGCTTGCGCTGGTAGCGTAATCGCGGCTCTATTGTCCGCCTGCATGTTAAAACCGGTTCCCAAAGCCTGTACTGGTAACATCATCGTGGCGACAGAACCCGCCTGCCTTCTAGGGCCCTCACACGAAGGGACATGCGACAAACTTCTAGGGCCCTCACCAAGCCATAGGGAGGGGACATACGACAAACCTTTGAGGGATATGTTTTTACTTCTCTTCAGTGTTTTGAAAGTGCAAACGCTAGGGAAAACACAGGATGTTTCTGCGCTAGCACACCCTATGGAGCCACGATTGCGTTGCCCGCACACAAGGGGTAAACATCTTTATTTGGACCACCTTTGATTTAGGGGCTGCGAAGCCTTGTCGCAGAGCAAGAAGAGTTGGGCACAAACCCTGCTTGCTTTGCGCAAAGGTTCTATAGAAGCGCAAAAGCATCCTATGTTGTTCCTAACGTTTGCACTTTCAGAACACTGTAGAAGTAAAGACATATCACTTCGAGGTCTATCGTATGTCCCCTCTCTTTGTGCTCGTAGGGTTTGGTGAGGGCCCTAGAAATTTGTCGCATGTCCCCTTCCTTCGTGCTCATAGGGCGAGGGCCACTAGAGGTTAGGCCTGAAAGCCCTAGAGCCAGAACGTGCTTGAAGGACCCAGCGTGCGAGGTTCGAAGGCTTCAGAGAGGCGTCTTGGTTGGTCCTTGTGTGTGCGAAAAGACTGAGCGTGTTCAACTAGCATCCTGCTTTTTGGGGACCGAGTGACTCCAATGGCACCAAAGTTTTTGGGAACCGAGCGTGTTCAATTAGCATCCTGCTTTTTGGGGGCCGAGCGTACTCAACTAGCACCCAAGCTTTGGGATTCACAACACTGTAGAAGTAAAAGCATATCCAGTAGAGATTTGTCGTATGTCCCCTCCCTTCGTGCTCGTAGGGTTTGGGGATGGCCCTAGAAGTTCGGCGCACGTCCCTTCCCGTCGCGCTCGTAGTGTGACATCGTACGCAACTAGCACCCCATCTGCGCCCTGATGACCAAATAGCTCGCGTCATGGCGCGAGCTATTTGGTCGCAGGGGAAACATCCATGGCTGTTTATGACAGGGAAACACCCATGGCTGTTCAACACGTTAAGACGCAAGTTTTCACGTCGCGCTCGTCGGGTGACGTAAGCAACTAGCACCGCTTCTGTGATAGCTCGCGCCATGGCGCGAGCCATATTGGTCGCAGGGGAAACATCTGTGGTGTTTTAACACGTTAAGAGACGTTCAGGGCGGGTGTTCTGCAGCCTGTGCTGGTAGCGTAATCGTGGCCCTGTTTAAAACGGTTCCAACAGCCTGTGCTGGTACCGTAATCGTGTTCCAATGACCCGCCTGCACTTTAAAACAGTTACATAAACCGCCTCTAGGGCCCTTACCCTACGAGAACGAAGGGACATGCGACAAAAACTTAGAGCCCTCACCAAACCCTAGCACGAAGGGAGGGGACACACGACAAACCTCTAAGGGATATGTTTTTACTTCTTCATTCTTCTGACTGAAAGTGCAAACATTAGGAAAACTTAGGATGTTTTGCGCTTGTACACTCTCTGGGGCCACGACTACCTTTCCAGCACACAAGGGATAAGCATCTCTGTTTCTTTGGACCACCTTTGATTTAGGGGCTGTGAAACCTTTTCGCAAAGCAAGAGGAGTTGGATGCAAACCCTGCTTGCTCTGCGCACAGGTTCTATACAAGCGCCAAAACAGCCTATGTGTTTCCTAGCGCTTTCACTTTCAGAACACTGTAGAAGTAAAACCACATTCCTTAAAAACTTCTCACAGAGGGCCCTAGAAGTTTGTCGCATGTCCCCTCCTTTCGTGCTCGTAGGGCGAGAGAGGTTACTGAAAGCCCTAGAACCAGAACGTGCTTGAAGGCCCAGCGTGCGAGGTTTGAAGGCTTCGAGAGGCGTCTTGTCATCCTTCTTTTTGGGACCGAACCTACTCCAACAGCGCCCAAGTTTTGGGCACCGAGCGTGTTCAAGTAGCATCCTGCTTTTTGGGGACCGAGCCTACTCCAACAGCGCCCAAGTTTTGGGCACCGAGCGTGTTCAAGTAGCATCCTGCTTTTTGGGGACCGAGCCTACTCCAACAGCGCCCAAGTTTTGGGCACCGAGCGTGTTCAAGTAGCATCCTGCTTTTTGGGGACCGAGCCTACTCCAACAGCGCCCAAGTTTTGGGCACCGAGCGTGTTCAAGTAGCATCCTGCTTTTTGGGGACCGAGCCTACTCCAACAGCGCCCAAGTTTTGGGCACCGAGCGTGTTCAAGTAGCATCCTGCTTTTTGGGGACCGAGCCTACTCCAACAGCGCCCAAGTTTTGGGCACCGAGCGTGTTCAAGTAGCATCCTGCTTTTTGGGGACCGAGCCTACTCCAACAGCGCCCAAGTTTTGGGCACCGAGCGTGTTCAAGTAGCATCCTGCTTTTTGGGGACCGAGCCTACTCCAACAGCGCCCAAGTTTTGGGCACCGAGCGTGTTCAAGTAGCATCCTGCTTTTTGGGGACCGAGCCTACTCCAACAGCGCCCAAGTTTTGGGCACCGAGCGTGTTCAAGTAGCATCCTGCTTTTTGGGGACCGAGCGTACTCAAACAGCGCCCAAGTTTTGGGCACCGAGCGTGTTCAACTAGCATCCTGCTTTTTGGGGACCGAGCCTACTCCAACATCACCCAAGTTTTGGGAACCGAGCGTGTTCAACTAGCAGCCTGCTTTTTGGGGACCGAGCGTACTCAAACAGCGCCCAAGTTTTGGGCACCGAGCGTGTTCAACTAGCATCCTGCTTTTTGGGGACCGAGCGTACTCAAACAGCGCCCAAGTTTCGGGCACCGAGCGTGTTCAACTAGCATCCTGCTTTTTGGGGACCGAGCGTACTCAAACAGCGCCCAAGTTTTGGGCACCGAGCGTGTTCAACTAGCATCCTGCTTTTTGGGGACCGAGCGTACTCAAACAGCGCCCAAGTTTTGGGCACCGAGCGTGTTCAACTAGCATCCTGCTTTTTGGGGACCGAGCGTACTCAAACAGCGCCCAAGTTTTGGGCACCGAGCGTGTTCAACTAGCAGCCTGCTTTTTGGGGACCGAGCGTACTCAAACAGCGCCCAAGTTTTGGGCACCGAGCGTGTTCAACTAGCATCCTGCTTTTTGGGGACCGAGCGTACTCAAACAGCGCCCAAGTTTTGGGCACCGAGCGTGTTCAACTAGCATCCTGCTTTTTGGGGACCGAGCGTACTCCAACAGCACCCAAGTTTTGGGAACCGAGCGTGTCCTGCTTTTTGGGGACCGAGCCTACTCCAACAGCACCCAAGTTTTGGGAACCGAGCGTGTTCAACTAGCATCCTGCTTTTTTGGGGCGTGTTGGCCGGATCCGGAACACGGGAGACCACGGACCCAAACCGCGCGACACCCACCCGGCCTCAATTGCGCCCTGATCGGAGACACTCTCCCAACCCCGTCGCTCATGATCGGAGACCGTGGGAGACCACGGACCCAAACCGTGCGGCGGGTTGGGAGGGAGGCCCCAACCCCCCCCCCCCGTCAGGTGTGCTTTCCGTCATCCTCTGAATCCTAGATTGAGGCTGTTCAAGGTGCCCCCTCGACCCCGAAACCTCTGAAACCTTCAGAAGACACAGCTTCAGAAGCCGAACCCTAAACCCTAAACCCTAAACGCTTCCGGAGCATGGAAAGGTTAAGGTTTAGGGTTGAGGGTTTGCTGGGATTGGTATACACTCTTCCGTACGCGGTGTGCGGCGAGAATGGGGCCCTCACAATCCGAAAGCTACAACCAATGTGAAGAACTGAGAGCCCCTTAAGCCCCCAAACTGAGAACCTTTAAATACCACGCCTCAAAATGGGCCCTCTCAGTCTGGCTTTGGAATGTTCTTTACTCGTTGAGAGTGAAAAGTCTGTGTTATAGGGTTTGGGCTCTCTCGGGTTTTGGGTTTAGGCAGGGTCACCGATTGCCGCGGCCTTGTTTTTGGAAGATGGAACTCGAACCCCTGAGACGCCGGGACTCCGTTTACATGTCCTTCCTCCAAGGTTTCGCCGGGATTTCCAGCCTCTTTGGCTTCGTGGGCACGTTCCAGGCGCCACCGCCGGGAACGACGACGCCGGGAACGACTTCGTCGCCGGGCACGACGCCCGCAACGACGCCCTCGCCGGGGGGGACAGGCCAGGGAGTTGAGAACTTCGAGCAGCTTTGAATGACTTCATATGAAGAGTTCGGGAAAAGAGGGCGTTTCGGGGGAAGCTCCGGGCCTTTGGGTGCGGCAGGGCAAGCGTCGTGGCAAGTGCGGGGAGGGCCTCCGTTTTGGGTTCTGGGTTCCTTGATAAAAGTGACCAACCCCAAAAGGGTGCCCCTTTAATTTAACATGGCTACTGGGCTTCCCAGCAACACGAGCCGCCCCAAAATTTGCCCCTCTCGGACCACAGAGAGAGGCTACTATGGACGCTACGCCTACAAGAAAGGCTCGGGATGGGACCGGGGGGGGGGGGGGCAGCTGAGGGGTTGAGTGTTTAGGGTTTAGGGTTTAGGGTTTAGGGCCCCTTATACTAACAGTCCTTAATGGGGATTATCGGACCCCCTATTGCGATCCCTATTGAGGATTGTTAGGAGCAGGGGGAACATCCCAAGTTCAGGGGGGGGGGGGGGAGGGGGGGGGGGAGGGGGGGGGGGAGGGGGGGGGGGGGGGGCTGAAAAGGGTTGGTGACGTCTGCCAGTTTAGGCCTTGGGAGTTTAAAAGGATCGGGACGTGGGGTTCTGCATGTGAAGTCTCTTGCCGTCACCACCAAAACGATTTATACAGATATGCAGCTATGCATATATATATATATATATATATATATATATATATGTTTGTATGTATATGTACATGAAAAAACATGTATATGTACATGTATATGTACATGTACATGTACATGTATATGTATTGCTACCATTAGATATCTCCCTTATCTGTGTATGTATATACAAGCACCAGCAGCCTGAGTTCCAGGGTCTGTTGCAAAGGGCAGCTCGCTTTTGGGGCATGAAAGGGAGGGAAAGCTCCTTCGTTCTGAAGGTGCTTTTTTGCTGTTTGAAAAGAGTTCCCGCAACCCTCCACCGCTGCACACACCGCGGCGCCGCGCTTTCAGTGCCCCAGGAGCATTCCCTTGGCATTACTGGCGCGCTTCCACGGGCTGGCAGCGCAAGACGCCAGGCAAGGAGTTTTGAGGATGGTTTGGGGGTTCGTGCCAAAGAACGCATGACATTGGGCCGATACCGCCTGAAAAGGAACTCGAGGTGTGGAGGGGGCAAGTTCGGGGTTCCAAGGAAAGAAGATGCAAAGGCCAAGAGGGTCCTGGAGATCAGAGGTTTGAGGTTGTTTGGCTGTAGCTTCAAGGGCCTAAACTTAGATGCCAGGCGGCCGAAAGCAACCCGACATGCCGTCTCTTAATCATTCTGTAACCCAGGAAGCCTGTGCATGCTGCTTCTCTCTCTCGCTCTCTCACACTGTCAGCCTGCTGAGTAGACGCATGTGGGTAGTTGCTCAACGCATAGTGGTTGTGGACGTATCGTGTGCGTTGTTTAGTTGGTGTTCACTTCCTGTCCCATACTCTGGCATTGATTCGCCCGAGCTTGTACCGGCAGAAGCGGCAACCTAATCAACCGGAGTTCAACTCCAATGGACACCCTAGTTCTTTGGTTTGCATTGAAACTCATGTCCACCGCACATTGATGTGTTGGTTGGTGAATCCTACTGTATGATGAAGGAGGGGAGAGGGGTGACAGCAAAAGGATTCACCTATGGCCGTTCTGGCATGCAAAATGATCGACATGCGGACGTACCAGCTCTGCAGGGGTAGATGACTTCGATGATGCTGGAAGAGAACAAACAAGGGAGCCCAGTGCAAGTAGATGCGAGAGCGTTTGTACCCCTAATCCCTAAACCCTAAAAACCTAAAAACCTAAAGCCCTGTAAATCTAAACCCTTCACACCCCAAGAAAAAGGGGCCGTAGACATGGTAGGCCCAAACCCTAAACCCTAAACTCACCAGAACCAAGGCCTGAGTAGGCGCCCTGCAGCCTTTTCCGGGGGTATAACCCGACCATAGCTGAAAGGTCAACCTTTGTCGGCCCAGGGTACTCAGCAACTAGGAACTGCCCCCCCCCCCCCCCCCCGCAACACCCCTAGCCTTGGCTTTCAGAACCGAAGCCAAGGAACTGGCGGAAGAACCGTGGCTACTCGCTAACGCAACAGGAGGCCCAACAACGAGCTGCGGAGAGGACCCTTCAAAGCCGTCTTAGCCCTAAATTTGAGGTGTGGAAGCTTAAGGGTTTATAGTTTAGGGTCCTTATCAAAGTCCTGGGTTTAGAAAGGGTCCTTATGAAAGTTTATGTAGCAGTTGCGAGGTGTACAAGCTTGGGCCGGAGAAGATGTCTACAGCCTGATTGCTCCTAAAGCCTTGCGCAGAGGCCGTGTGCGGCTGCAAGTGCGGAGATCCGATGCCCTAAAGCATAAGATTCATGTGGGTTGGGATGTTCCCCCTTTTCCAACAGACTTCAATAGGGATTATAGTACCCCCCTACCATACCTCAAGGACTGTTGGTAGAAGGGGGAACTTCCAAGATATGGGGGGGGTTCCGAAAATGTTTTCCTGGGCGGAGATCGGCCCCGGTACCCGGCAGTCTCATAGGCCTGGATGGGAGACAAAAATGGGGTACCCTTTCGGGGGGTTCCTATAATTGGGATTATCCTATTTTGAGGTATATTAAGGGTACTCCTGTTTGGGGAAATACTAATAGGAATTATTTAGTAGATTATGTGCAAGGGTATGGTGTACCATTATCCCTAGCCCTGTTCGAGGAAGACCAACGTCAACCAGGACGCGTGGATTGGCAAACGCGGTGCACAACTCAACATTCTCCAGCTTTGAGAGCATCGATCTGGCTCTAGGTTCCGTATGTAGGGTTTAGGGTTTAGGGTTTAGGGTTTAGGGTTGAGGGTTTAGGGTTTAGGGTTTAGGGCTTAGGGTTTAGGGTTTAGGGCTGTGGAGCTGTGGAGCTGTGTCCCCAAGATCTCTTCAGCCCGCGGCACCGTGTGCTCCGTCGGATTCTTTATTTTTTGCTGCCTCTCCCAGGAGCGCAGGGTCCTCCGATCCATGCTGGCCAGCGAGGGATGCATCCCAGCTGACATTTCCCTAAACCCTAAACCCTAAACCCTAAACCCTAAACCCTAAACCCTAAACCCTAAACCCTAAACCCTAAACCCTAAACCCTAAACCCTAAACCCTAAACCCTAAACTTGAGTATGTGGAACAACCCCGGTGCATCAAGTCAGATAGCCTGAAGGAGCTGCCCCAAAGTGTTTGGAATGGCGGCTTGCCTTGCAAAGCGATACGTAAGGGAATGACACGGCAACTGGTTCTAACGGACGTTCTTTGGTTTCTTTCTTGTCTCCCTGCTTCGTGCGAAGAACAAACTGGCCGAGCAGATTTTGATGGGCTTTATGGTTCAGAAGCTCCTTGCCGCACAAAGCACGTGTCGGAAACATCCACAAGCCTTTCCCCCCTACTATAATCCCTATATGAAGGACTCCGAGTGGAAGGGGAACATCCCGACCCCTAAACCCTAAACCCTAAACCCTAAACCCTAAACCCTAAACCCTAAACCCTAAACCCTAAACCCTAAACCCTAAACCCTAAGAACCTCGAGTCCTTGAGGCAACATCCTGAATTGCATCTCGCAAGCCTGGGACTCGGGCACCGAGGCGGCCAAAGACAGCGCCCCGGTTACAAGGGGCGGTTTAGGGGTTAGGGCTTAGGGCTTAGGGTTTAGGGTTTAGGGCTTAGGGTTTAGGGCTTCTTGCGGGTGCAGAGTAGGGCTTCGGGACTGGGTGGGTATCCTTTTTGACCCTTCTGGTTGTACGGAAGCCTACCGTATATGAAAGGCTACCCTTTTTTTGGGCTAGGGCATTCAGCCCCGAAAATGAAAAGGGATAGGGTAAAACCCTAAACCCTAAGCCCTGAGCCCTAAACCCTAAGCCCTAAGCCCTAAGCCCGAACTCCGAAGTTCTCCTGGCCGTATCGTTGTCCTTTCCCTTGCCATGCGACTCCTGGGTCTGTAGGGTTTAGGGTTTAGGGTTTAGGGTTTGGGGTTTAGGGTTTAGGGTTTAGGGTTTAGGGCTTAGGGTTTAGGGTTTAGGGTTTAGGGTTTAGGGTTTAGGGTTTAGCCCCAGCGCTCGAGACATTCGGGGGGCTCAGGGTCTCAGTCCTCAGCTCCCAAATCCACGGGCGGCCCTGGGCTTCCCCCAAACATCCATGGCCATCTGAAGCCTCCAATTTAGGGTTTAGGGTTTAGGGTTTCGGGTGCAGGGTGTAGGGTTGAGGGTTTAGGGTTTAGGGTTTAGGGTTTAGGGTTTACTTTTCTTCCATGGGATGAAGACTCGCACCCCATAGGGCTGTACCCCTAAGAGTTTCCCCTCAATATAAAGCAGGGCTTATATTGCTGTTCTTGGTGAGTGTAAGGTTCCTTTCTAATATTGCCGCAAGCCTCGGATCCCTTGGACCCCTCTGTGCCCTCAGCCTACAACGACGTAGAGAAGAAAGTGCGGCTTTGGCAGAAAGATGTTGAGTGGTTTAGGGTTTAGGGTTTAGGGTTTAGGGTTTAGGGTTTAGGGTTTAGGGTTTAGGGTTTAGGGTTTAGGGTTTAGGGTTTACATGGACTGAGCGCCTGTGAGAGAGAGAGGGAGGGTTTAGGGTTTAGGGTTTAGGGGGTACTTCAAACACACCCCCGAGCTGCTGCATATGGGGCTTTAGGAGATTTTCGGCCGGGGGCCTGTGAAGGTTCAGTGGTCGAAGCTGGGGGGCACTGTGCCTTTTTGCTGATGATGATGGTCCTGAGTAGAAGGGATCCTACTTTGTGGGGGTCTATGTTCGGGGGTCCCGATTTTCGTAAACCCCCATAGATGCCCTCCCCCCCCCCAAGCTATTTTGTTTTGTGGTAGTTGAGGGTCTAGATAGTCGCCAAGATTCTCAGAAACTACCCAAAAGTTCCTGTGCACAACCCGGTGGTCGGCGCGAAACGTCCTAGCAGTTTCTTACTGACAGCCCGCAAATGCTGTTCTACCAGGAGTTTGTAGATCCCTTGCAAGAGGACTGGGTCAGCATGTTTGAGAACGTGATTCGCATTTTGCTGCTTGATGTGGCTGAGCCCAGCGCTTAGGCCAGAAGCCCTGGTACCTCTGAAGCACACGATCCCGGCCTTGCCCCTTTAAGAAGGCTAAGCCCGGAGTCCCGAGACTGGCGGACGTTTAGGGGCTGCAAGCCCAACATCCCAGAAAACCCAGGGCGACAGGCGCGGAGCTCCTCGGCGTCAACTTGGTCTGGGTCACTTCACTTCCCCCGCCCCCTCCCCCATTTAGACCCAGAATCACCGGGACGAATGCAGAGCCCAGAACCGCCCCAGGGCTTCTGGGGCCCCTTTCTCTCCGTAAAGCATGTAATCCTTCGGCTCTTGGTGTGTTGAGGGACCATTACAAGAGCTGGGCTTGAAGTGCTTTTCGCCCACTGCCGTCGCTGTTGTCATGCCTTCGAGAGTTCGGTCGCTGGTTAGCACGCTTGCAGTGCACAGTCGTGTAGGACGTTCGCTTTTGGAACCACTTTTTGTTTTGGGCTCAGGAAATCGCAGAATGCGTGAGTTCAACAGCGTTTTTGGTGATTCCACATCTGCGTTCTTTGTCAAATTCTGGGACTGTTGGTTGAGCGACACGAAATACCTGCCCAGCTCGCAACTGCTACTTAGAGCGCCGGTTGACGCCCTCATGGAATCATCTTGTACGCAGACGCAAGCATGATATTGGTGGAACTACACTTATAGCCTTAGTGTCAAAAGTCAAAAGATATATGTGTATATATATACATGTGTGCACATTAATGTCAACATATGCATACATATATATATATATATATATATATATATATATGCGTGTGTGTGTGCGTATATATATATATATATATATATATATATTCATACATATGTACATGTATATATATATATATATACACAACTGATTTGTTGACATACTACGAAGATGGAGACGATGCTTCTGCATTCCTGGACATGGAAGCCATGCCGAGGAAGGGGGCAGCCTGGGCGTCGGGCGCAGCAAACGAGGCGGTGAAGTGGGGCACCCAGGCGCGGAGCTGCCGGCGGTTGGATCATTTGGGATCTAGAAGGCTTAAAAGGGCCTAGAGTTTAGGGTTTCCAGCTGATGCTCAGAGCCTGGGTTCTGAAGGGGTTTAGGGTGTGGGCGTACTCACGTTTGCGACAAATACGAAAAGCAAGCTCGCTGTACTCACACCGAAGCATGAAGTGAGCACCCAGGGGCACTGTGAGGGCACAACCGTACGAGCATGTTCTTCCTCGTTCTTGGCCCTAGCCCAAATCATTCAGCGCATGGCGTAGTAGGCGTGCGCACTGGCGACGTGCGCGCAACAAAGCTCCACTCCTAGACGCGAACGAAGACCCTTTCCACGGCGAATAGGCGATCAGCAAGCAAGATCACAATTGTACTTATGCTATTAGTTCTAACTGTTCTAACATACTGGTACCCAAGCAGGAGTTCATGGCTTCGCAACATGGTTTTTGTACGGTTTCGATGGGTTTCGGACAGGATGTCTAGGACTCTTTGGCAGAGCCGAGTTCCAGACTCTGTGGGATATCTCGGAGTCTCTCGGATGAAGGGCTCTAAGGGCTCTTTGAGAGCTTATTCCCCGAAAATGCCGTGCCCAGCCGAAGCAGGCCGGCGGAGCCATCGCAGAGTGGACAGTGGATCAAGCCATCGATGCAGCGACGTTCTACAGAGGCGATTAAGAGCTCAGAGTTCATATGAAAGGGTCCTTAAGCCACATGGGGGGTAGCTATACAGGGCTTGCGGTCAGGTTCAGTTCTGGTGCTATACGGTGTTGTGTCGGCATGCAGCAAGCCTTTCTGCACATACTGGGTGGCCGCTCGAGCTTCGAGCCCCCCATATGCTACGGCCGTTGAGAGCTTTCGATTGGTGGTGGCAGCGGGATTTCGGGGTTATGCAGTTTAGGATGTGTTGCTTGGGGGGTGCCAAACAAACCCTAAAGAAAAGTCCTCGCAGACTCGGCACTCGGAGACGAGATGATGTTCAATAGTTGCGAATATTTGCGTCTTATTCTATGAAGATTGTAACTCCTTTTCCACGCGCACTCCAACGTTGCGATTTGCGGCCCCTTATCGGGGATTCACACCATTGCGTTGGCGGTGCTCGCGCCCAGCCGACGTTACGATTTGAGGCCCGTTATCGGGGATTTCCACCATAACGTTGTCACGGTCCCACCCTGCTGCTGTGATGGCTAGGCCACTGCACTATCAAAAGGGCGGCGGGCGCGGACATCATAACCTTAGAATCGGCTGTTCAATGATGACGACAGCGCTGCTGCGGCTTATCGGAGCAGTTCTGGGAACAGCCACGGTCATTGAACAGCCGGTCTCGGCGTTATGATGTCCGGCCTGCTGCGAAGGTAGTGTGCAGGGCAAAGATTGCGTGATGTTTTGCCTTCTTGGGCATTATTTTTCAGCAAGCAAGCCTGGGACACGTGACTTTTCCCGTGCTGTATTCCATTTTGGTAAGAACGTGCGAGCAACCTTGGCATAACATTGCCACGGTTGAACTGGTCTCGTCTTGCAGTTAATTTCTGTTCAAGCGGCATTGTCAGGGACTTTCAGGAAAGCGTGTTTCAAGCATTTTTTAGCCACGGACTTGGAGGTTCCAGAGGAGGCTTTTCCTGGCCCATTTTTGAGGCATAAGTCACACGAAACAGGTCCCGCAGAACAGCCCTCCACAGTTGCAAGTTGTTACTTGTGTTCAAGCAACTTGCAGGGCCGCGCTGCCAGTGCAGACACATGTTGGCTGAACTTCTCTGCAACGAACTTGCACTCAAGATCACCAGGCCTGGGCAAGGATGAAATGCTGGCAGTGTGACCGACAATGCCCAGCGACACTGTGCTGACGCATTCTTTTGAGAATTGCGCTCAAGGTTCAATGCCCATCCGGATTCTGGGCCGGCAAAAAGGGGGGCCCAAATGGGATCGTTCTTTGGTCCCTTTTTGCAAAAATCCGCGCCCCAAACAGGCCCTGTTTTTGGCTTCACTTTTTGTTCTCCTCGTCTAACTTGCCTTGCGTGGCTCCAACTCAAGCTCAAATTGCGAGCCAATTTTTCGTGACGCATTTTGCCGTTTTGGAGTCCATTTTTTTGAGGTGCATATTTGGGCCCTCGAAATCTCACAAAAAAATCCGATTTTCAGACGGGTTATGAAACATTCAATAGAGTTGATCTTGCTCATTGCTCCATTCTCGCATTCATAGCAGTATTTTAAATTTGCTCGAAGACTTCGTATTCGTAGTCGAGGGACCGAGGGGAGGGGTCCCTGTGACTTTCATTCGGGATCAACATTCGAATAAACACATGGAGTCATGTCGAAAGCATTGCCCTCTGACTGCTGGCTTAGGGGGTTCAGCCTCTTGCTTGGAGGTGCTTCCAGAGGTTTCTGGTCTGACACGGGGCTGCAAGTGCTTGGGGGTCCCGGCTTTCAGCGCGCTGCGCAGTTGGGGCCGAGAACTTCGCAGCGGTGGTCGCCAACTTTGCCCAAGAAGGAGGGGGTTCCCCCAAACAGGCCCCAAGCCCTAGAAACCCTTCAAGCCCCACAAGCCAAAAAAAAACCCTCTAAGCCCTATGAACCCAAAACCCCTAGCATGGTACCTTTGGGTGTACGGTTTCGGCCCACGGCGAGGTGGCGAGTTTGTTGAGAGAACGCAAGCCGGGAAGAGAGAAGCCTAACAAAGGCCTCAGAGGCCGAAACTACCAGCCCCTCAAACTCAAGTTCTTGCAATGGGCCTACACAGAGGTTCATGGTACTTAGCAATTATCGTTGTACGTCTAACCCAACTATAACCACATGAGGGCACCTAAGGGGCTTATCAGTGGGTTCTAAATACCGTGAAATTATATGGGTGATTAGGCACCATGAACCTCCAAGTATACGGTTTACGGTTGAGGGGTTCAGGATTTTCAGGGTTACTCTACTGCACGCTGAGTGCTATACAGGTGCTGGTCTGTTTCTTTCTGGGCCTCTCCAGGCTTGGATTCTCGGGTTCTTAAGCAAGGGGGGGTTCAAGGGGGGGTAGGGACCTGGGGAACCTGAGGGAAGCTTAGGGAAGCTTAGGGGGGTTTGAGGGAGTAGTGGGGAGTCTTCGGGGGGAACCTTGGGCCCCCCCCCCCCCCCCCCCTGGAGCAATTGGAGCCCGCAAGCTCGAAGGAGCCGAGTTGGCCCAGGAGGCGGCCGAGAACGCGGCCGACTTCTTCATGTCTGCCTTCGATGTCCCCTGTCTCAGAAGCTCTTCAGGGGTCAAAGCGGTGAGGGTTTAGGGGTTAGGGGTTAGGGGTTGGGGGTTAGGGGTAAGGGGTCAGGGGTTAGGGGTCAGGGGTCAGGGGTTAGGGGTTAGGGGTTAGGGCCCCCGAAGTACTGTATTTCGTATGTTGCTGTCAGACGCTCAGGGGGAAGATTTTACCTGCAAAGCCAGAACAAGGCCCCAAAAGGTTCAGGGTTCACAGTGCCTTCACCATGCACACCCCACCCTCGGAGTTTTCCCCCTCCACGGGCCGCAGACGGGCAAAGAGATCATCATCAAGTTCCTGGGCGATCAGCTCTCGAACATCCTGACACCACGGCTCAACTTAGGGCTGCAACGTTTCCTTGGGGTTTGGGGTTTTCGGTCTTCGGGCTTTGCTTGCTGTACAAGAGTCAAGGGGTTAAGAGTCGTACCCCGAAGGTTGTACCCCTATAAGAGTTCCCCTTACTGTAGCCCCAATATGGCGCTTATATTACCTCAAGACTCTTAACAAAGGGTCCCCAAACCCAAGGGTACCACTTTAGGGCTCTAGGGCTGCTTGAAGCCTGCCGCAAGGGCCTCCCACAGGCTCTGCATGTAACTCCTAGTAGAACTCTAAAACTCGAAGACCCCCAAAACTCCCCCTAAACCCGGCTAAAAGCGCACAGCCGACAAAAAAGGTGCCTTCATGTGCCTCCCCAGCTTTCGTCCGAGGCCCGCAGTTTCGGGAAAAACTCGGCAAGTCCGGGTTACCTTCGGACTTGTTTTTAGTGTGTGCCTGCTGAGTTGTAGAACCCTGAGATTAGTCACATGATTCTGGGAAAGGTTGCAACTTATGCGGCACCCCAAGCCCTTAAGCCCCAAGAATCTACGAATCTACGCCCGAATCAAGGTAAAAAAACAAGCCGATTCAGGAGGCGACTCATGGCTGCGGGGTCCCAAGCATCCCCGTAAGCCGAAACAGAAACACCGAAACGCCTGGTATACTTAGCAGTAGACCCGAATTGCCAATTGCTTTTCCTTGCGAACCGCACTCCACCTACAGTCCAGGCTGCTCTCTCAATCTAAGGAACGAAGACAATCTCCAGCCGAGACCGACTTTCTGTGGTGGTGTTGCGCACCTTGCTTGCAGCTGGGGGGATCTGGGGGGATGTAGAGGTTTGAGGGCACAGGGGGACTAGCAGCCCGGAAGCACAAGGGGCATAGGGTTTCGGGTTCACTGAACCCTGCTGCTCCCCGGGTTTTGGGGCTTTTGCTTTGATGCCAATCTTCGCCCCTGGCCGCGCTGCCATCGAACCGATCAAATTCAGTGCGTTGCGTGGACGCTTTTCAGAGCGGGTAAACTTGACATGGAGACTCGAGACACCGACCTTGCTCACTTTGCCTCTTGCCTTCGGGCCGCTTCTGTCTTGCCTGAGTCTGCTTGAACGACATACTCAAGATGACGCGCAAGAGGGTGTCCAGTGTCGACTGGTCAGAAAGACCTAGCTGAGAGCAGGTGGAGAAACAGTCGAGGACATCAGTGCAAAACTGCGCTGGGGCCTGGGGTCGTTCACGCCGACTTCTGGGGGGCAGTGCCAGAACACGCTTGCAAGAAGAGCGCCGGTTCGCTGCTCGCGCTCGAGTCTGACACCCAGGGACGATGACGGACGCAACCTTCGCGGGGCCAAAGCCTGAAGGCGACAAGGCGACAGCAGTGTCAAGCGAGCGCGTCTAAGCAAAACGGATTTTTTTCCGCGGCTCGGAGTGCCCCAAATCCGCGAGGCCCTGACCTGAGTTCCTTAGTTCACCACTAGACCCTAAGGCCCCAAGACCCTTCTCCCCCTTCATTTACCTGCCGAGTGGGGTTTTGGGAAGTTTGTGCGTCTACTCCCCGTTATACTAACACTCCTTAAGAGGGATTATAGTACACCCTTTTGGAATCCCTCTTCAGGACGGTTACTACACGGGGGAACGTCGCAAGTTTGCATTGTATCAACATGACACCCAAGTGGGATCTTGATGTGTTTCAACTTCACGTCCCCCAAAAAACCAAGTAAGCCCCTAAAACCGTAAACCCCAAACCCTAAACCCTAAACCCCAAACCCTAGACAACAGGCCCCCGGGGTTGAAGGACGACATATCCAGCGAGTTCTGGGTGCATTTCTTGAGGTTTCCCTGGCTGGCTTCAACCGTGGTCGGCGACCCCAACAACGCTTGCTGGAAGCAAGTGATTGGCTTGACTGAGGAGACAAAAAATGCAACCCCGACACCTGAACCCCAAGCCACGAACACTGAATTCGCAGTTTATATGCTAGCATCAAAAACTATGTATATGTCTCTATACATATATATGTATGTATATGCATGTATGTATGTATGCATGATCAAATATTCAGACGATTGGCAGAAGAGTTCTCCTGAAAGTTGAGGGCTTGCTTGGCTCTTTCCGCTCTTGGGCGAGCCGAAGCTTTTGGGGGAGCTTTGGGGGGAGGAGATCGCCGAGTTCGTCTCCGACGATGTGGGGCGGCTCGTGGATGCGGTGATCACGCGCGTGTCGAACATGCTGGAAGACGAGGAGAGAACGACGTGTTTTTTTTTTTCTCGGTTTTTTTGGGGGTTTAGGGGTTTAGGGATTAAGGTTTAGGGTTTGGGGTTTAGAACTTAGGGGTGTTTTTAGGTCCTTGGGTGCAGTGATGTAATAATGTAATCCAAGGTTCCACGTATGGGCCCTTATGTTGGGTGCCTTCTTATATGACCCTTATAGAATCATTATGTATATATATATATATATATATATATATAAAGAGGGCACACATTTCGGATCTCTATTTACAAGGGTAAGTGACCATACTAGTGGCCCATGGTTCCTACCTTAGATGCAACCATGACAGCTCATGGATGTGGGGAGTTGCTGAGATTAGCATTTGTTCACAAAGAGCCCACTCATGTTTGCACGGGCATGGCTTTCAGCCGCGCGAAGATTCGGGAATCTGACTGTCACAAGCACGGCTTTTTGGGGGGCGAGGAGGCCCCTTTGCGGAACTTGTTCCCAGACTAAACCCGACTCGGATTAGTAGTGAATGCAAAGGGAATCTTTTGCAGAATTTCATTAAGCGAGCCGCAGCCTCTTCTTCACAATTGAGGGTTTGGAGCTTGGACGGCTGTTCCGACATCTGTCTTCCAGCAAAATTGGGGCTTTGGGTTTAGGGTTTAGTAGGGTTGAGGGCTTCGGCTGCAATAGAGTCGTGTCTACACGGAGACGGTGAACTCAGGGGCTTCGAAACGAACGAAGAGGGGGGACGTTTCATCAGACGACAGTTGGCAAAAGGGGAGGGGCTGCGTCCAGTGTTTAATGGGATCCAGTTGCAACTGCCGATTCCCTACTTCCAGCGCCCTTGATGCGGCATGACTTCTCTACTTGCCAGCCAAGACGAGAGAGAACATGTCACGCAGCCCTAAATTTCCCTCAATCCTAAGCCCGAAGTGATCTGAAGTCTGCAACCCAAGTGTTATTTCAAACCGGGAGCATGGAAAGGAACACAATGGCCCTGTCGGGTCAGAGCTCCCCCTGCACGGCCATTTCGCCACGTAACAGGAAGAACTCTCAGAGAAAAGGATCGAAGTTTACAGGCCACGTGGTCATTTCGTCCAGGACTTGTGGAAGGCAATAATTGGCAAGCTGGGGAATGCGCTCATCACCAGCTTCTTGACAGACTTGGTCGCGCAGTTTGTGTTGAACAACCTGAAGCGCACAGCCCCTGAACGCTGGAGGGAGATTCCTTCCTCCACTCGGGGAGATGGGCGTTCGGTGATACTCCCCCTCTGCACCGTTGCGTTGGCATGCGGTGGTTGCTTCGTAGCCAATCTTGCACCCTGAATCCCACACTCTCCATGCCCCGAGCCTGCAGATCCGTGATCCTAAGCCGTTCAAACAGCTTGGACATTGCAGAGGGGTGGCTTGCGCTTTTCCTCGTGGTGAGCGGTAAACCCCACCGGCCCACCAAGCATTCGGAGGCCCAAACTGGCAGGTGCTGAACGGGTCAATGCTCACATCATGCACACGCAACTTTGAGTACTAAGCGTGCAATTTCAAGACGACCCAAAGCACCCAGAAGGGCAACCTAAATGACGCACTCCGAAACGCATGTTTACCTTAGCCGAGGCATTGGCACGCCCGGGGGCATCACTGCGACAAGGGCCGTCGAGATCTACAACGACATCATGGCGGCTGCTTGGCAGGTTTAGGGTTAAGGCCCAAAAGGGCCAAGGGGGAAAATTTTGGAGGGCAAACCCAGAGGGCCTTTGAGTCCCGCGGCATGTCTCTTGAGTCTGCTCTTAAGGTATAGGATGCTCGGGCAACCCGAAGCGCCCCAAAGAAGCCAAGAGGCCCAACACGACAGTTCTCAGGTCATGGTGACCTACCTGAAGACGCACCTGACTCCCCTCTTCGCAGACCTCGCCGCATTCTTCGCTGATGTCGGAAGGCGAAATTTTCCGAGATGACGTCGGGGTAGTAGGTTTCTCCCCGAAAATTGGGGGGCTTTAGTGATGGCTTTAGTGATGTTCAGGGGATTCAGGGATGTGGTGCCTGGAAAGGTTCCTGGAGGCTATGTCCGAGCGCACGAAGAACCTCATCAGCGCCGTCTTTGACGAGCCAAATGGCCGGGCTCCCCAGGATTTTCGGGTTGTGAGGTTGGGGAAGTTTGGAGTTTGTAGGTCTAGGCGGTACTTGTTCATGGGTAGTCGAAAACCGTGGGGTCATCGCAGAGTACCTGAAGTGAGAAGTGGCGAAAATTCACTCGCAGGCACTTAAAGCCCGATGTAGTTGTAGACGTACCCATGAACTTTCACGCCGTGCTAGGAGCAATACCAAGAACTTATTCATAATCGGAAGCCGTGCTGGGCTTTGTCAAACCGCAGACCCAACAACTGAGGCCGTGTGGGCTTGGGGCCGTTGCTTAGGGGTGGAGGCTTTAGTCATCTACTACTTAACCACCTCCGCCTCACAGCACAAACGCGCACCGTCCCCCCCCCGCCAACCCCCCCCCCCGCCCCCCTCCACACTTGCTGTATCGGGCCTGGCAGAACATGGCCCCAGACACGAAACCTTGACCGGAAAGCCTTGACCTTCAACCCGACAAAACCCTAAACCCTGAAGGCCCACCACACAGAATCCTTACCTGTGCGACTGCGAGAGTCGAACCCTCCTCTGAGCCTCGACCTGAAACTCCTAAGTCACAAGGCATTGAGCATTCTACAAACCCGGATGCATCTTTTGTGCTCCAAGATTCTTGACATACGGGTTGGCTCCAAAGAAGTTGCGACCCTTCTGGAGTCAGACCTGTAGAGGTTTGGAGTTTAGGGTTGGGGTCTCTTTGAGAAAGAGGTCCAAACCCTAAACCCTAAACCCCTCTGGGTGGCTTCTCCATCAAAGAGGTCTCCAAATCACGCATGTTTGGAGGGCTGTGAATCACCTGAAGCCCAAGCCCCAAGGCCCATTCAACTTCCTGGGCTTCCAGGGAGAGACGCCCTTCGGCCATCTTTTGGGGGGGGGGGGGTTCAGGGATCTGATATTCTTCTAAGGTTCATTGATCCCTGCCCTCTTTTGCAGGGATCACGAATTGTAAGTTGGGAACGCCTTGTGTGTGGTTCGACTTGGCACCCTGCCTCTTCATCACCCGACCTGAACGCTAAACCCCTTGGGAATGAGGGAACGAGGCCGCTTTGTATCGGGCTACCCTAAGCCCTAAGCCCTAAGCCCGAAGCCCTAAACTAAGAACCAGCCAGTAAAGCCAACCCTGAGCCTTTGCAAAAGCAGCCACAGTCCTGGAAGCTGGACCATGTCCTATAGTTTAGGGTTTAGGGTTGAAGGGTTCAGGGTTTAGGGTTGAAGGGGCATTACCCAAAACAGGGGCTACCCTGAATATACCCCCAAGATTCGGTCTTCCTTAACATGGGAACCCCTAAGAAGGGCACCCCCGCCCCTTTTTTGGAAGGGCTCTAGGGTCTAGGGCTTTGAGGGGCGTAGCGAGTGTCAACTCTTAGGGGAACAGATCGCGAGCCTTCGTCGGCCGGTGTCCGATATGCAGAAAAGGTTCTCGTCCAGCACGATTTTTGCAGTCAAGTAATCAAATGCGTGGGACCATGTTGACGCTTGTCTGGACTTGTCATCTGTCGGGGAAGGGCGTGTGTGTAAAATTAGTTAAGTTAACGACGGAACAACGACTCTTTAGATCAAGCCGACTCCCGGCCACGGCCTCCACTTTGTTCTGAGCATTAAATACCCAAAATACCCTAAACCCCCGAAATCTGTCGTGCTGGTAAATGTGACTCCCTGTAGGATGCCATGAGTCCTATGAGTCTTGGCCACAGCCTTGTCCGAGTGAGCCGCCTTGGCCCCCAAATCGCCTTGGCCCGCGAGGTGGTACGTTGCGCTTTGCTTGGAGGGGTTCACCTTCGGCATGTTCCTGGGCACCTGCCTCTACTACCCCTTCAAGCTCCTTGGCGCAGCCCTGTTCCAAATATGTTTCGGAAGACTTTCTGGGATTTTTTAGCTTAGGACCTGTAGGACTCTGGCCATGCGCGTGTATGTGCACATGAGCGCATGTCCCGGCACAGTTTCTTGCGTGCCGAGTCGGAAATCAATGGAGTTGAACCCCAAACCCCAAAGGTACCTGTAGTTATAGCCCTCTCATAAGAATGTTAAGTTCTCCGACATTGGGTTATGAGTACAGTGATCGTGCGGTTCATGAGTACACATGAACCTCCAAGTAGAGCATGGAATATCAGAGTATAGCATGGTGGAGTTTTGGGGTTGGAGTGTTTAGGTTGAAGAAAACCGTTCGACCTAGTGCAAGCATGAGTACTCAAGGAGCTCATGCCATTGTGTGCCAACGCAGGACTCAAGTTACGGTACGCCACCGGAAACCTACTCCGAAGACCAGTCCATCACAAATCATCTGCCTCAATGAGATCATTGTGTGTCCCATCATATTGGATCATGTAATATAATTCACGCGTATACGCAAATATTATTATAAAGGGGGTTCGTTTCACTCACTTATTATATTACTACGAAGAGAACAGTATTAATGAAGTTATAAGTGAGCCTGCGATCGCATGAACTTTATTAATACGTGAACGAAGTGAGACAAGAATACTAAGAGACCACTCAATTTCTAATATAAAATGACAAGGAATTCATGACGCGTGCATGTGTATTAGAAATTTGGGCTTTTACATGGGCGAATGATACCAAAGGCCCGTCATAATAAACTATGGTTTTTGTACGGGCTTTTCGTATATTATAGCAGTCTGGGACAAAGACGGTTTGGGATGGGTAGCTCCTTTATCGAAGTACTATCACGCTTGTGTGAACCCTCAGCTGCAGCTGTTGATAAGAGGCTTCTATATGCTCCTGCAAGTGGCTGAGCTGTTAAAGCTGTTTGGCTTTTCTATTTTTGAGGAGTGTAGGGTCGAACCTGTTGGTTTCCTGACTGTCGGAGAAGCGGGAACCCTCAATACCGTTATTGGGACCGGCTCCGTGTCGGGCGTGAAGGAATTAGGTTCCCTGTAGGGCCCTTGACGCGGTTCTGGAAGGGGATTGAAGGGAACCTCATCCCAATTTCCCTTACCGCAAAGTACACCCAACTGACAGGTTTGGTGCAAGCGACAACGATTACTTTGTGGTCGAACTGGGCTGGGGACGAGAGCGAGAGCTCCTTTGGCTGTCTTGAGAGAGTCAGAGTTCAGACAATTCCTTGCTCAGGGTTTCTGCAAAGTGGGCTATACAAAAAGCGCCTTCATTGCATCGTCCGCAGCACACGATCCGGTCCTTGACGGGGTGCTTTGTGCTCAAACCTGCGACGTACCAACGTGACCCCAGATAGCGGTCAACCCTAAAACCCGAAAACCCTTTTAGATACGCGAGCCTCAAAATCCCAAGTCCTATAAGCATCATCAGCCCTATAAGCCCTCTAAACCCCGTAGACTCCGAGCAACAAAAAGCAGAAGCACATGATCATGATAAACTTCCAAAAGCCCTAAAGCCCCAAACCCGAACCCCTCCCCCCCCCCCCCCCCCCCCCCCCCCCCAAACCCCAAACCCTAAACACACCCCGAAGGCCCCCCAACACTAAACCAACCCCCAAAAACCCTAAACGCAAAACACCCTGACCCCAACCGCCCCCCCCTACACCCCCCCCCCCCCCAAAAAAAAAGAAAAAAAAGAACAGCAGAAAAACCTAAACCAAACCCCAAACACCCTAAACCCCAAACCCCTCCCCCATCCCCCAAACACCCCTGGAAGGTTAGGCTCCGGCAATGAAGTCAGTCTCGATGCCGGCTTCGGTGGCGGTATCCAGCCTGGGCCTTGAAGAGAGTTGGGAAGGGTTTAGGTGGGTTTAGGGTTTAGGGATGTTTTGAGAAAGGAGGTGCCTTAGTTACACCAGCGAAGACCCCAAACAGTTACAAGTGGAATGGCATGTTCACAGACTACAGCACATATTGGCTCTACCCCGCAAGAAAGAAGCCCGAGACTTCAAAGATATCAAATATACGGGAATGACAAAGACTCCTGGCGATAGCTTGGAATAGATATGTTCACCCATGCTAACAGATGGGAGTTCGAAGTCAAGCAATATTCCGATCTTGGCCAGTAGATCACAGACATATACGTGATCTGATAGCAACCTCGTGAAATTAAGCGAATTGCCGCTCTGGCCAGGACGACTTAGGCTATGACTTAGGCACCACTCGTTGGAGGTCAGGCCAATTCCGGTCTTGGTCAGTGTGTCACACGTGACAGCAACCCCGTGAAATCAAGAGGGTTGCAGTTCTGGCCATGACGACTTAGGCACCATCAATTACATCACCGGCATATACGTGACAGCAATCCCATGAATCGAGTCTCGCAATCGGCGCACGCGCATCCTGGGCCAGCATCCACGCTTGGGGTGGATGTTGGGCTTAAGGCGTGTTGGGACAAGATCCATAGGCCAACTTCTACGCTTGAGGGGGCGGATGTTCAAGGTCCACACTTGAGGGGTGGAGGTTGCGTCAACATTCACGCTTGAAAGGATGTTGGGCCAACGCCCCCGCTTGAGGGGTGGATGTTGGGGGGCCAACATCCACGCTTGAGGGGCAGATGCTGGGCCAACATCCACACTTGAGGGGTGGAGGTTGGGCCAACATCCACGCTTGAGGAGCAGATGCTGGGCCAACATCCACACTTGAGGGGTGGAGGTTGGGCCGACACGTTGGGCCAACATGCACGCTTGAGGGGTGCATGTGGGGCCAACATCCACTCTTGAGGGGTGGACGTTGGGCCAACATCTTGTTGACGGATGTTGGGCTAACATCCACGCTTGAGGGGATGTCGGGCCACGCTCGACGAGCGGATGTTGGGCGAGGGGCAACATTGAGGAGTGGATGTTAGGGGCCAACATCCATGCTTGAGGGGTGGATTGTGGGCCAACATCCACTCTTGAGGGGTGGACGGCCAGCATCCCGCTTGAGGGGCACGCTTGAGGGGTTAAGGTTGGGGCCAACCTCCACACTTGTTGGGTGGATGCTGGGCCCAAAGTCCATGCTTGGGGGTTGGATGTTGAGGGGTAGATGTTGGGCCAAGATCCACGCTTGAGTGGTGGACGTAGGGCCAACGGCCAACATGCACGCTCCGGCCGTGGCCACTCATATGAAGGGAGACCAAGGGAGACAAGCACAAGCAGCCCGGGACCCGGCCGAAGCCACCCGCATGAAGGGAGACAAAGGAGACAAGCGGAGACAAGAAACGCGGGGAAGCAGTCCGGGGAACCGGCCGAGGAAAAAAACAAAACGGACAAGTAGACAAGCAGCCCGGAAACATGGCCGAGGCCACCCACAGCAAGGAAGGCAAGGAGGGAGCACCCACATGAAGGGAGACAAAGGGAGACAAGCGGAGCCAAGCAACCCAGGGAGCCGAGGCCACCCGAAGGGAGACAAAAACGTCGGAATTCCTTGCAAAGAAACACCGGAACCCCCAAAGTAAACTGTTTGGGGAGAAAGGGGCTTTGGGCTTGGGGTTTAGGGTTTCGGGTTTGGGCGGCCTTATGTAGGGTTTTAGGGTTTAGGTTTTTTTTCAGGGTTCAAGGCTACCTCCGCAGCCACTCGAATCCCCGACCCCAAACCCCCCCAACGGCTTGGGGGACTTTATGCCTGGTAGGCACTCCACCCACAAGGTGTGCGCTTCACCTCGTTTTGGGGACTGTCCGACTGACTGGTTGAAAATTTGCGTGTTTTTAGCTTGGCTTGTGGTGCTGCTGATGTGCACGCACTCAGCCCCACCACCCAGAACCGCAAGCGTTGGATCTTTGGAAACCATCCTTAAGCCGAAAACAATAGACACCCCCCAAACCCCTTAATCTAAACCCTCCAGCCCCAGCTGTGCAGGGCAGGAGCGAGCAAAACCTCCAGCCGTTCATTACTCGTATCGCATACCCTAGACCCTGAACCCTAAACCCTATAAGGTCAGTTCTCTAAATTAGGGTCCCTTTTTGGGTACCATTAATAGGAGGGGCCACCTTATAAACCCCCCACCCAAAAGGACCATAAATTTTGAGAAATCACCACAAGGTTCGTCCAGATTACAAGCTGAAACCCCACGTCAACCCTTCGCTGCCTGCCTAGCCGCACACGTGGAAGCCTAAAAAAAACTGGTGAGATCATGCATGGCAATATTTCGATGTCGCGCATGTGGACGTTTAGTCGCAGGTAAGGAGTCTTGATGGGCTCTTTGCTTCGTATGCCCACGGTACCTGATTCATACCCAGGCTCGGCCCAATCATGACCAACGACAAGAGCGCCCTGGAGGGCAAGTCGTTCTCGATCGGCTTGGACATCGACTTCGAGAACCCCGGCTTGACTTTTTTGGAAGGCTTGAGGCGGTTTAGGGGGTTACGGAGTTAGGGAGGTTAGGGCTGGTTTAGAGACTAGTGTACTAAAACCCGAAACCCTTGAGTACCTTTGAGTTGGGCTGCTTGAGCTTAGTCGCTGTTTTGTTGACAGGCTAGACAGGAGTTTTCCTGAAGCACCCTTTGTGCCCGGTACCCCATTTATGCACCTTACACCTCCCCAAATGTAGACTCCCTGTCCAAGGAAGCCCCCCACAGGACCGACCCAACACGGCTCCTCATTCGGGCACGTCTTTAGTTCAGAGGGCCGAATGATCAGCAAGGATTCAGGTTTAGGGTTCGCAAAGAAAGGGTTTAGTAGAGGGGTTTCTGAATGTACCAGAGGACGAAGAATCCAAAGATTCCGAATATCAACGTCGGCCCAGCCTTGACTTGGGGCGTCAGCCCAATCACGCTGCGACTCGGCAACATGTTGGGGGGCTTTGGGAGCTATTTTGGGGGGATGGATTTTGGGGTCTAGGGTTGGAAGGCTTTAGGGGGCTGGGTACAGGGCTTGTTGGGCTCCTCTTGCGGTGTCGGTTTAAGTTCAAAGGGCAGCATTGTCTTGAACGCGTTGGCCGCTGATTACGGGTGCCAGCACACTTGAAGCCAGCAAGGGCCTGTCACAAGAAAGTTGCCATTGCCCCCGAGAACCCGCCTGCCAGACTCGCCACAGACGCCCTCGAGGAGCATCAAGGGCACCGGGCGCTTTGAACGCCACATGACATGCAGCTGCATGTGCCCCGGTGTGGACTACACACCACTCTGCCAAAGGGCCTGAGCAGCCCCCGCCAGAAAATCCAGATTCGCCGCAGGGTGCTTTGGTGGAGCAAACAGAGGAGATTTGCCCCTGAGGCACCTCCAAACCCATCATCCTCACACTCCAAAGCCCGGGAAGCCCTGAAGTTCTAAGCCAAACAACTCCCCCCGTTCCCCCACCCCCAAACAAAAAGCAGAAAAGAGCCTGAAGACGTTCGTCCCCAGATCCGGATCCTCAAAAACCCTTGCTGGTTCCTCCGAAGCCCCCGAAACCCTTGAACCCTTCAACTCTTCAACCCTGAAACTCTTCAACTCTTCAACCCGGAAACTCTTCAACCCTGGAACCCTGAAACCCGTCAACCCTTCGACCCCTGAAACCCCTTAAGCCTCTCAGCGCTTCTCAGCTCCGCGACAAGGCTGACGGTCGACTTCTACGCGGGCATCAACTGGGCGGTGCCCGAGGCGACAGGGCTTCCGCGAGCCTTTTTTTTGAAGGAAGCCCCACAGGTCCCCAAAAAAGCTGCATTTTCTCTTAATTATAATTAAAAAAGCTGCATTTTCAATTAATTAATTATTGGGTTCAAGAGGATCCTCTTCAGGCTAAATGTTTTTTTTTTCAGAGTTCTTTTGCAGGGCTGAGGTTTTAAGTCTTGCAGCTCCCGAGGATGCCCCGCCCAAATCTCGTCTTTCTTGGATTCTTCCAGGCTTCTGCTACAAAGTCAGGGCCCCCCCAAGAAAGCCGACCATTTTTTTGTTTTTTTGTTCTGGGGGGGGAGGGGGGGGTTAGGGCTTAGGATGAGAGAGTCCTCGGGGCAAAGAAGGGTTTAGGGTTGTAAGAACCAGTCTTGGATAATAGGACTCTCTCCTACAAAAGTAGGTCTTGGGTTCCACTAGGAGCTTCGACCGGTTGGACCCGACGCCCAGCGGAGTAGGGTCAATTAAAAACGGTTTAGGGCTTAGGGTTTCCCAAACCTCCAAGAGCAAAAAAAACACTGGGGAACGTGAGAGATGAATTTCACAAGAGCATGCC